CCTTAGAATCCTTAGGATCCGTATTAATATCCTTAGCATCTATATTACTACTAGAGCTACGCTTTATAAAGCCCTTATCTCCGTCCTCGACTCTCGCTTCCCTAAATTCTCTATTATCCTTAGCCTTAGCTTTATCCCTACCCTCGCCTAGAGTAATAATAGTAGGGATTCCCTAAGTAAAACGCTAGTTCCCCTAGTTAAAGGCATCTACCTTAGATAGTAAAAGCTTAATACCGGCCTATTAGATGTTATCTAAGAGCGTACCTCTACGACTATTCTATACCCTAGAAAGACCCTTAGCCTATAATCTAGAGCCGTAATTAATTACACCGGTAGTAGTGTCCTTAGTAGTATAGTATATTATCTATATCGTACCGAATCTACCGAAAGTAGCCTTTAGAACGCGGATATACTCGCGTATTAATATAATCCGGCGAAAGGTCTTTACGCTATAGTTATAGGTGGAGTTAGTATAGTACTTTATGTCCTTAGAGTATTCGAGGTTACGAAACTTAAGAAGCTCGTCGGTTCTAGTGCCTTTTCCGCGTCGACTAGACTTATTTATTACGCTAGATACGAGAACTACGGTCTAAAGCTCCTCGTCGTATATAGAGCTTAGTAACTACCGTAAGTAAATTATCTTACGGAAGTAGTACTCTAACCGGCTCCTCCGAAAGCGATAAGTAACCGATCGATAAGGCGGCGTATAGAGCTAATATCCTCGTTACGGATAGCGGTACCTACGGTTAGAACTAACTCTAACTCCTAGAGTATACGATACTAGGTTATAAACACTAGATCGTTAATTCTATCTCTAGACTAGGCTTTAGGTATATATACGAGATTATAGATAGACTTTATAATCTCTAGGTACTAATGCTTGTTTAACTTCTTAATACTAGTACGGATAGCCTCCTTCTAGTCCTCGTCGCCGGCTCGGATAAATAGGTTACGTTATTTTAGAGCCTCTAGTATAAAGCTAAGGTTACGTACCTAGAAACCGCGCTTCGCGATACTCTAAACTTAAAAGAACTTAGGCTTCTTAATATTAAGATACTTTATACTAAGGTGCTTTATATCCTTAGTAATCGAGTAATCGAGTACTTTACCCTTCTTGTTCTTCTTAAGATAGGTACGGAGGGCTAGCGTCTATATAGCGTTTATCTTAATATAGAACTAGATAGAGACCGGAAGGATCTAATCTAGAAGAGTTAGTATATATTTATATATATCGACGACGATAGCGCATACCCTTCTTATTAAAAGATAGCTTACTCTCGACTATCTCGAGCATTACGGATCTCGTACGCTCGATTGTTATTTAATCGCTATAGATTAACTAGAGTCTACTATCCTTCTCCGTAGAAAAGTCCTCCTTTACGAAAGCGAGGAAGTTTAACTAGATGTCCTTATATATAGCGTATATGCCCTTAAGCGAGCCTTCGTCGTTTATCGATACTAGTAAGGAGAGGGTCTTAGAAACCTTATAGTCGAGCTCGTTAAGAATAGGCTACTAAGGACGTAAGACACTAGAATCGCTATTATTATTATTATTATTATCGTCCTTAAAAATTCCATCGATTATATTATTACTAACTATATATATAATACTCTAGTCGATGTAGTATAATGTAGTTACCTTATCTAGGGTAATATCTATACTAGGAACCGGAATTAGCGGGTTATCTTCTATAGTAGCGTTAGCAAAATCTAGATTAGAACTATCTAAACTCTTAATATACTCGTCGATATTACGCTAGGCAATCTTCTTTAGACGGGCGTTAAGCTCGCGCATTATAGTCGAGTTATAATTATTAGCATTCCTTAGCTTATTAATACTATTCTACGTACGATAACTAGCTTCGAATCTATACCGCGCCTTATGCGTAGCCTCCTTAATTAGATCCTACTATTATGTCTATTAAGCCGCGCTCGTAGCTCGAGCTTCTAGTATAGCTACTCTTCGGAGTCGCTAGGCGGAGAATAGCTTTTAATTATTACTATAGACGATTTCGTTTATAGTCTACTTACTACGGAGTAACTCTAGGATGTTAAGAGGATCTAGCGGGACATCCTAATAAACTATGCTCTTATTAATCTTCTTAGGAATATACTTATAAGTCCCGATAAACGACGTAGTTATATTAATCTACTTATTTCGATCGCCGGTAATCTATATCGTCTTCTTCTATATACGGTAGAAGTTGTCGTATATAATATACGTATTCTACTTACGTACTATCCGGATCGCGGCTTATAGCTAGTACTTAGTATTCTTATTCTAAACTCTCTAGAGCTTCCGGTAGGATACTACGATTCTAGTACGATTAAAAATCGAGATAATACGGCTCCGAACACTACTTATCGCTATTACTAGACCGAGTACTATTAGTATCTAGTTAGAGCGGATCGCTATAATCGAGTAGACGATAGTTAAAGTAATTACGACTCCGCGCTTAGTCGCTAGGTCGTACTTGTTTTTAAAGTTCTTCTTATACTCGGCCTACTAGTAACGATCGTTCGGGAGGAGGCTATTATTAAGTAGAGTATACTACGACGGAGCGACATTACGGATAATCCTATTAATGTCGTTAAGCTCGAGTTAGATTATGCTGTTCTCCGGCTTGTACTTATTAAAGAACATCTTACTTACGAGCTTCTTAAGCTAGAAACGCATTAATTTCGTGCTTACGAGTTACTTACGACCTAGTATACCCTAGACTATATCGATACGACGGCGATATATCTTCGTTCCTAGCTTACCGACCTATATACGTAGTAATCCCTCGAATCTACCTATACGCTTTACGCGTACTTCCGATATAATGTGTTTAAACTTATTACCTCTACTACGTCTAGTATCGTGCTACCTATCGGCGTTAGGAAGTTCCTCGACATCTTCTTCTTCCTTATCGTTCTCTACTAGCTTATTAGTAGCGTTCGCATTTACATTCTCCTCGTCCTCGATCTCGATCTCCTTATCGCTAAGTACTTCGTTACGCTTAAGACGCTTACGCGTAAGACGTAGGGGATAGCGGTCGTCTTATAGTAGACGGGGTAGTAGTCGGGGCTAGTCGATAGTTAACCCGGTAGCACTATTAGATAGAAGTTAGTCTACGTCGGAGTCTAGGCGACTTAGGAGGGAGGTTAGCGCTAAGCTTAGATCTAAGCTCGCTATACTAGTAGGCGTAGTTAGGTAGTAGGTATAGGTAGTTTGTTCTACGTTTAGTATTAGTATTCGTATTAGCGTTAGTAGAAGAGAAGAGAAGAAGAAGAAGAAGAAGAAGAGGAAGGCGAAGTTAAAGTTTAGGTTAGGTAGGTTAAAGCTAGAGTACGGACCGCGAAGTAAATAGCTCCTCTAAAGCTTAGGTTAGTAGTTACTATTCTTATATAAAACGTATAATAATAGAGACTACTCTCCTAGAGTAGATAGACTAAAGAAGCTACCGGACTAGAAACGTAACTAAACGTAATACGAGTAATTACCGGAGAAGTAGCTAGATATAACACAAACAATCGCGTTAGATACCGGTTAAATAGGGGGAGAGTTACTATTCTCGCACGGTTTAGGTAAGAATAGTAATATCTATCCTATAAACGATTATATTAGTAACTACTACTCTACGCCGTCGATACTACTACTAGATATATCTTCCTCTATACCGTTATCTCCGTCCGTCTCCTTTATACCGTTATTTCCGTCTATCTCCTCTACGTTTAATACTTAAAGATCTCTATACCTAAGTATACTATCGAAGCTGTTATATATAGCGAACATAGGGCTTATAATTACTACTATAGCTATAGTTAGGGTTAGGGTTAGGGCTAAGGAATAAGAAGTCGTAGAAGTAGTAATAGACTTAGAATCGCTAGACTTAGAATCGCTAGACTTAGAATCGCTAGACTTAGAATCGCTAGACTTAGAGTCGCTAGACTAGTTACTAGTTAGCTCCGCCTCGGTCGGTCTCTCGAATATATATATATCCGGTAGCTAGCTATTATTATTACCCTCTATAGGCTTACCTTCTTTTAGTAAGGAAGTCTAGAATAGGTTAGTAATACTCTTTAGCGTAATAGTCTCCGTAAGGAAATAAATGCGCGTACTATTTTAACCCTTAGCGAAGTGTCGGAGGTATTAATTTTAAAGGTCGATATCGCTACTCGAGTAGGCTCGGAAAAGAGGCTTTATTAAGTTAGTAATATATAGTAGAGTAATAGTCTCCGCGAGGAAGTAAATCTATATACCTTTCTAACCCTCCTCGAGGTATTAGATTATCTATATTTAGATATCGCTATCGCCGCCCTTTAGGTAGGTAGGTTTAGATAGGTCCTCGGAATAGAGCTATTATAAAACGGAGAATAGGACCTTTCTTATACGGTCTAATTTACTAAGCTCTAGGTATTAGATATACGCGTAGATATGTTTAAAAAAGTAGTAGTTTAGTAGTAAGCGATATATAGGCAGCCGGCTAGGCTACGTCTTAAAGTAGGCCTCGTAAACAATTAATATCTCTATAGCCAAACGTCGCGCAAACGTGAAAAGTGGATTAATAAACTTAGAATTGCTTACTCTATAGGAACGGACCCTAATAACTATGTTTTTCGGTAGTAGTAAGGGTTTAGTGTTCGAGGTAGTAGTTAGTAGTATTCCAAACGCCCGAATGCCCCGGCTTATTCTTAGACCCTTAGGCAAGCTAAGGAAGCTAAGCCAATTAATAAGCGACCGGGCGGCAATCCAGGGTCTGRGAAGGAGGTAGGTCAACATCAAGGACCTTCAATTCGCCAATGCGGTGAAATTGCTTAAGACACTCGAGGGGTTCGGGAAGCTTAAGGACTTCCTGAAGGGTCCAGACGAGCAAGGCCGTCCCAACCGCGTAGCGTCTGCGCGTAGCATCGTCTTTCAGCATCATCTCACCAAGGAGTTCTCCGGCGACTCAACTGCCATCCTAAAATGGAGTAAGCAGGTGGAGGTCCTCGCTAGTGGCACCTCGATCTACGAGATGGACCACCAGTTCATCATATGTGCGGATGCAAATCTGGAACTCATCGGCCAATGCATTTCGGATCTCACCCAGGCTTGCGGTCAGAGACTCTGGACCGACGAGATCCAGAGAAGTGTCATCGCGAGAGAAATGCGCGTCTCGCTCTCTCGCGCACAGATCAGATTGGATGCGCAGAACAGACTTCGAGCACAAGAGATTGCCCTGGCGCAGTGGGAGCTCGGAGAATTCCGTGAGCGAGTGCGCAGAGAAGCGGCTCGTCAGCTTCTCCGCGAGGAGAACGACTACGAGGATAACGATGTGATAATAGAGACAGATAGTGATGAGGATGTGTCTGAAGGTGAATGAGAAGCAACCTAGGACTCGCTTAGTACAACCTAGAATCCGATGGTAAGTAAGAATGTTCGATTGATTCTAGAGAGCTCTACTGAMAAGGACTTGTAGCACACCAACTGAGCAAAGGCCACTTCATAACACGCTACTTTGGGAGATCGCCGGTTGGTGATGATTTACGGGCGACAGTTACAGCTTCATGGACATCGAAGCTGATGCAAGCATGGCTCTGCTCGAATTGGGAATGGAATGGGTCACCTGTATCATGTCTCATAGATTAGTTGCGCGTCAAGCTTGGTACCTGTTCAAGCAGATTGAAATCGAGCGTTCTTCAACCGTCCATCATCGCTCACACCTGAATTTTCCCTCTGCATTTGCGACTTGAATGAAACATAGATGTGCGAGGTACTCTGGGATAGACTTGCAACTCACGCCAAGGTCCATCTACCCTTAGGTTGTGAAGTCAGGGTGTAAGAACACCTCCTATTGTGTTGCAGTAACCTTGAACATTGTCATGTTCCCAGCAATCTGCTGGGTTGGGAAAAGAGCAAGCTGGAGGCGCAAATCAAATCTCAGTACCCAAGCACGGCTAGAGAAGATGTATATTGCTCCATGGTGGTCGAAAATCCCTAAGAACGACCGAATATACTTCTAAACAGTCCTCCAATGCTACCACCAGCACCTCCCTCTCCACGACGAGCAGCCTCAGTCTCGATCCACTTGGTCAGAAATTCTTTACTTCTCAAATCGTCCACCCGTGTGACTCTGGTTTCCAGCTGCGGCTCCTGGCGATCAAAAGCCAGCAAAGTAGGAACATTATTGATCAAATAACGTGTGGCCAGGCCAGTCGGACCACCCAGATCAGGAGAGTCAAACTCCACTTCAACAAAGGATACACTGCCCTCCTTCTCGCCCACGCCATCGGCTTCAATCAATTCGCGAATGATGGGCGAAACTTCATCACATTCCCGCGACCAGGTGGTCATCCACAGCGTCACCAAAGGTACACGAGTGCTTGCTGAGGCTAGCAAGAGGGTGGATAGCTCGTCTTCATTGCGGATTCGTGCTGGATAGATTCTGTTTTTGGGWCCGGCTGCCGGGCGTGTAGTAGAAAATGGCCGCACGCTGCTAGTAATGGCAATCCGCTGGCTGCGGAGAGCATTGTTGATGAATATGGCGCGCATGACTGGTTTCATGGCGGTGGGAAGATGGATTGTGCTGTGTTCCTTGATTGCTATGTGAAGGTGATGTTGTTGACGGCGACGCGACGTGAGAGGTGACGTGTGCCAAGACTGATACTCTCCCGCTGCCGCAGTTCCGCCGCCGATCTTCTTAACGTCACTTGCTTCCTCTTTCTTCCCTCCATCATTTACGAGTTCTTCGCGTTGGAATTAAAGACACTGTCGTGATTGTTGACTATAGCAACATTATCGTACCGTTTCGGCAAGAATCTTTACAGAATCTAGGGCTACTTGATGGCGTCCTAGCCATGTCTCGAACAGAATTCCTTTCCCTACCTCCTTTTCAGACGTTGTATTGCCGCCCGGTCGCTTATTAATCGGAGCTGGCTTCTTTGGCTTGCCTAAGGAGTTCGCACAGGGTCTAGATATATAGGGTAGTTACATAGATCATGCCTTGTACATATACGGAAGGAATCACGGAATTGGGGGACAGAAGAAGCGTCTGAGTGGAGGCATTCCTTTACATGCTCCACTCGGTACAATAGCAGGGAGAACCAGGTGCTGGAATGTCTGAAAGCGCTCAGGTCTCGATGTTTGTCATCTTCTTTGTTTGCATTCAACATCTTTGTCCCCTTCATGTTGAGCCATGGCGGTAGCATTGAGATGACGCTTGCCACATCCGGCTCAAAACATCACAGTCTGAGTTGCTGCGGTAGCAATCTTCCTAGTTTTATCTCTTCAGCCAGAGGCGAAATCGTTATGGCGGCGCCAGTACCAAGATGCGACGACAGCAATGCTATGACAGCAATTGGATTCATGCCGCTACCTTGCTCAGATACCTGGAATCCACCTGCAGGCGAGGTTGCCGGAGTTCGCTGGTCGCAGAAACAATGTACCAAATGCGCCCGACTTCCGACTCCCCAACAACATGTCGTTTGTGGATTCTGCTACGAGTTTGGCCGTCGATTAATGGATGATTGGTATCAAGCTATAGTCACAATGTCTCCTTTGGGGCAGCGAAGCGGAGCTCCTATGCGGATGCCAGGACCTGGCGTCTCTGCCCGCAGTAGAATGATCACGCCCGCATGGCCAGCTATTCCTGCAGCTGGAGCAAATCGGTTTAGGGAATTCTGGACACGTCTATGCGTTCCATGGTCAGAGGATGTTCTCTCCATTACTGTGACATCGCTGACGCAATTCTCACAGCGAGCGCCTTGAGCAAGACAACTTTGAACGTTTGATCTCTAATCACAATGCTAACGTTGCCACTCCACTCTATGCGCCTCCTCCAGACACACTTGGGATGTGGGACTGGCCCTGGAACACTTGTACCTGTCTCAAAGAGTTCGGATGGAGTGACCAAATTCGACAACCGCCGGATACAAACGACCCCCCTGCTGTTGTACGTGATCCTGCTCAGCCTGCGATCCGCATAACATCCGGTCCACCTGTGATGGGAGATGAAAAAGAGTTTCTCTGCATTGACCACGGCCACTTGCAGGCCAAATTTGGTGATAGACGAGCTCAGAGAAACCTCAATGACAAATGGTTACGAGAGACATCTCGATCAGCATCAGGTAAACTTTGTATTGCGTCAGCGCGCACAAAAGCTAGACGAGACCGACCCGCCAGCTCAAGTCACAGAGCTTGCCGATGCGGCGGAGACGCCGACACTAAACCCTACGATGCTGAGGTGCTACTTTGTATGGCCTGCGAGGGGCTTTGGTGTCTTGTACGAAAAGGTACGCCAGGTTCAAAGTATCAGAACATGCAAACTCGAGCAACACGGCGCAATGCACCCAATCCCGGTGTCACGTCCCGCTCTCGGAACGTAGGAAACATGACGCTGGGTCGAGCCCGAGAGAACTTTACTGATGAATGAGCATACTGAAGTGTGAGTTAGTCAATCGTGCTGCGGTACGTAGTCTACGAGAACATAGGCGTGTTTCCACTGCTTCCACACACAATGTTGCCATATCCGCCAGCTGTGCTGTTCTGCGTAAGCCAGAGAGTATAGCTGCGTGCGCTGCACCTCGCGGACCCCACCAAGAATGTCATCCTGTTATCTTGTCCGCCAACCGCGCTTTTCTGCGTAGTATGCGTAACATCGCTGCGCGCGCTGCGTCTGTATCATCGATCGCCCTCGCCTTTTGCTACTACCGACGTGCCATTGGGTGCCTGGAAAGCCCCGCGGCTCCCTCAGCCATTCTGGATTCATAGTAGCCGCTATCGGGCATGCCACGGTCCTCATCTGCGAGATCATCATCCTCGTCGCCCTCCACCGAATCGTCACTGACAGACATGTTTTCGGGATCTCCATCCTCGTCGGGATCTTCAACCTCGTCGTCATCTTCATCCTCGCTGTCATCTTCATCCTCGCTGTCATCTTCATCCTCGTCGTCATCTTCATCCTCGTCGTCATCGTTATCGTCGTCCTCGTCTGGATCGTCATCCTCGTCGTCGTCCTCATTCTTGGCGTCTGGGTCAAACTCTGCCTCACCCTCCGTATCACCATCCTCGTATTCCGTTTTATTGTCATGACGGAGGCCCTCATTGAAGAGGCGGGAGTCTTGATAGAAGTCGACGATAAGTGACGGTCCCTTCTTCTCGGTCGCCAGATGCTTGCTCTCCCAAGCAAAGAAGACGTCCCTCAACTTCTTGAGCTCCACGCAGCTGTGAAAGAGCCCGCTCTCGACCACATCCTCAAAGAAACCAATCACCGTTCTCATGATGTACGCATCGTCAATTCTGCCAATATCATAGCCGCAATCGCGATGGGTATCTCCGACCGTGTTGAACCAATGCTTCAGCCCCTGAATGCATTTGTTCTCCAGCTCTCCGTCTTCGCCCATGATCTCTGCAAAAGTGCCAAACTCGAAACGAAGGAGCAGTCTGGGCTTCATGGTGTCATCCTGTTTGCCATCGCCGTAGCCGATATTTTGCAGGCCGAGCTTGGTGAATTGAGCGATGCCATCGATGAAATTGTGGAAATTGACGACTTTGACGACGAAAGTCGTGCGCTCGCTGGCTGCTTTCTTTTTCAAGGCCGTGTACAGGCCACGGTGTACTTCGCGACTAGCGGCGATCAGAGCTGAGTTACTGGCGAACTCCTGGTCATTGTAGATGCCGTGCGCGCGATGAGCTTTGAGGCGGACTTCTGTTCCAGTAGAGAGGACGAAATGATAGACCAAGTCACAGAGCTCTGTAGGCCATTGGTTAGTAGATGTTACTGTCATCTCTAGCTTGGGATCGCGACTCAACTCGCTTACCCTGGGGAAGTTTTAGGAAAGGGAAAGTCTGCGCGTCGCTCTTTTCGTCGCGGACGACACGTCTACATTTCAATCGACGTGCGCGGGACCTTTGCCAATCCCCATACTGCGCGGATGTTGTTGAAGTCAGATCGTCGGAGCTTGGACAAGAGGGTGAAAGCATAGAGGCTGCTTGGGAAGACGAGATTGGGAGCTTGGGTTTCGGTTCGCCGGTGAGTACGCTATGCGCACGTAGATGGCGACGTGGACTCATGGTTGAACGTTGTTGATTGTTGTTGATTGCACGATCAGAATGGGGAAGCTTTGGAACAGGATGAACCGGGATGGCTTGGCATACTAGGGATGGGGCGTCGTGTAACTAACGGAACGGGCCGCTGTCCCCTTTGGGTAATTGAAAGTGAATAGTTCCACCAGAGCTCTTTCGTCTACGGCCCGGACCCACACCTCTTGACATGAATTCTAGGCATGGCCGGATTGAAAAATCACCACAAGTATGCATTCGCCTCGGCTATAGGTACAACACTGACTCTGCTCTTTGAGCTAGCGATCTCCAAACTAAGCTGTGTGATTCATGCGCGCTCTGCCAAGACTTTGATCTCCCTTGCCTCGAGAAAGAAGGGCTGCGGCACGAGTCCGATTATTCCTGTCTCCAACCATATCAAACACTTTGCCCGGGTTCCAGGGACCTTGATAGAGTGAATTCATGGTTCCCGGATCAACCATATGGACAAATCCCTCGCAAGCCATACATAGCCTATCAAGGGTCAGCTTTTGTTTCTAGGCTGAAGCCTCTCCATCGAAATCTTACCATACTTCTGCACCTTTCCGAGGCGCTGGACCTGTTCCATGAGGGTGTATTGGAGTATCTACTTCCTACACGGTGATGAGAAATGATCAGCATTTGTCCACGAGCTGGCTAGAACGAAGAGCGATCCCGACGAGCCAGAGTGCGCAATTTGACGACAGACTCACCCCTCCGCAACGACAAGCTCTGTAGGAACTGGATTTCACTGAATTGCGGGTCCTCATGCGACGTCTGCTTGCCAAGCAAAGCTGGCCGTTGGAGGCTCTTGCGGTGGTACGCAACCAGGCATCTATGAGTGTTCATTTTAGTATGCTGGAGTTGAGAGAACGAACACACCAGACTTACCATTTTCATCGCGTATTGCGACGATCTCATCCCATGTATCCCTACGACATGGTAAACACGATCTGTCATCAGCCAATCCACCAATCCCTGGGGTTGGGCCGATTCGGCCAAGGTATGAAGGGCAGGTACATGTGTTCCGCGGAGGTAATGTTGCCATTCCAGTCCTGGGCCATTCGTAAGTTGGCCCCTGATYACCCCAATTCTCGAAACGGTCACCATTCAACATGGTGTAATAGCCTGCGGGGTTGGTTATGAACTCGTGCAGCTTCTCTTGTTCAATGTGCTCACAAGACCTGCAAAGTCGGGTCAGGAATCCCGTGAAGGCTGCATCTGTGCCTTTTGGCCATGCTGAGGGCGCTATTGCAGCAGGGGGTGTCTTATGAAAGTTAGTGTACATCGAACTCGATCAAATCTGAACATACCTTCACTCACAAATGGATCATTGCCAGGTTCAGCAAAATCAGGCGCATCTATCCTTGCTTGCCGATGCCATGGCGTGTTAACTGTGTCGTTCGCACCTGCAATCGTGAACTGTCAGCGATGCCAGCTAAGAAAGGCCTCGGTTCTGGCTTTGTACTTACATGAGCCACAGACCTTGGGCCGTCGAGCACGATGGGTCAGATTGTGGACGCATCGTGATCGCTTCCAGTGCGCATGCCGATGGGACGCTGGGAAACCGCCTGCAGCGGCTGCGGCTGCGGTAGGCCGCTTGCTACATGGTGGTGGATTTGTGTGATGTTTTCGGTCGTTGCAATTGCGTCCTCTCTGATAAGCCAGGACAGGCGCAGGATTCGCTGGAGCGGCCATGGTATGAGATGCTGCTGCTGGAAAAATGCCGACTTTTGTTATGCGTTGTGGATATGATACTCTCGCACAAAGAGATTCCGGAAACGATGGTTTCTTTGATAACAAAGACATCGGACATGGCAGAAGGGAAGAAAATTCCGTGTTCCCAAAGCGAGATTATTGCGCTCTATTAAGCTTGTCCTGGTACTTTAGCCCGGTCAATGCTTTCTAACAGCGAGCCTCTCATCGCCCGAAAGAAGCTGGGGCATTCTCGAAGGTCATGTTGCTAGCGTGATCGTGTTCTTCACAGCGCAAACACGCATCTTGTGCGGCTCAAGTCTCGATGATTTTGATGGCTCTGGAGAAGTCAGACTTCGTGGTCGTCTACTGGTCCTCACAGTCTTTGACACCGACGTACATACCATGCGAGGGGATGTGGACAATTTTCCCTCGGGAAAGGAAGTACTTAGAAAGACAGGCATAGGGTGGATAGGTGCATATCGGGTAAGGGAGAGGGAGAAGTAGGGGAAAAGACAGGTGTAAGCTTACAGGTTACATTACGACAGAGATAGGTGATCTAAAGGATATATATATCTGGTAGTAGGACGTCGATAGATGGACTATAGAACCTCTTCTGCAAAAACCCTTTCCCTTGCCCGATATACAAATTGATTGCTCATAGCTGCCGAACTCGGGACGCAACATATAGAAGCGAGTGTAACGAGAGCAAATCTTTGCCTCTATGCCGATCAGTATTATGAATATCCCTACCACTATGGCGAACATGATGACTTTTGCTTTTCTGGACAGCGTGCGAGAAGACGCATTGTGTGGCTACTTTATAAAAAGCAAGACACTGGTGGACATTATATGTCTCTGATTCTTCACTTCGCTGGCGATTTTGGCGCTTTTGAACTTTAGGCTTTTTGTGTAACTTCTTTTCACTCATAGAGCTCGCACAGCCAATGCTTTACACGTGAGTCTTGGCTTCGATACGCGTTTCCCTGACGCAGCAAAAAAACACTTTGACGGTTGTCTAAACACTCAACATGGCGTATCTCTCTCGCGGTTGGTGCTCTCGATGATGGTTAGGACGAATTAATGGAACTGATTCGCTTCGAACACAAATCCAGTWGAAGAGAGTACAATGAATGTTAATGACTGCTTGATCGAGTCAACTACGGGTTGTAAGTGCCTCCCATATATCCCGAAGGTAATAGCCCACGCGGAGGYTGTGAAGTCCAGTGATAGCCCCCTTGCTCCGCGCAGGACTAAGCGGATGAAATATTCTTGGAAGTGATCTCAAGTGAGTCTATATCGAGGAATCGATTTCAGGGGATCCTTAAATCGCTTTGGAGAGCTTCAGAGCTACAATGAGATCCGCTTCCTTCTTGTGTCCTCCTCCGCGGGAAATTTAGGGTTAGGGTTGGGGTAATCTTTTCTATTGCCACGTTGAGGACGTGATCTTTTAGCTTCGTGGAAAGGTTACAAATACACGCAAAGATCATTTTGTGCGGGTTTGAAGTCACTTAAGCCCTGGCTATCAATCTCCTTCATGCGGGTTCTGATCCGATTATTGGTCTGACAAGGACATAAGGTTCACGAGTGAGTTGAGGATGAGCGCATGCCGTTTGATCGCTCTCCTTGCACTACCATACATGTAAGAACGTACTGGCATCGAGATAGCCGAGTGATTACGACCCCTAGGTTCGATTGTGAGAAAGGTCACTCCAATAGCCGCTATTTCATAACTCAACTATCCGTTTTCTCAACTCGATGCTGACATTCCACTTCTCCAGGCGCTGGATTCTCTTCCCCGTCCAGCATTATTTGTACTCCTACGTTTCTCGACTCGCGACCCCTGTTCACAAGTACGTGGCCTCATCCGAACTGACGACATGATCACTCATTCGCCCGATAACCATCAGTCAGACAGTCTCCTAGAATCGCTCCTGCTTGACCCTTGGCTCGAACTCCTGCTTGAGATTCCTCCCAGATTCCTCCAACTTCAGCTTCACGATCCGCTCAACATCCTGCGCGACCCTCTCGTTGAAAGCCGCCATCAAACCATTTCCCTCAGCATGCAATTGCTCAATTTTCTGATGACTTTGCTGGATCTCCCGGTAATACGGGTTTGTGACTTTCTCCCTTGCATATTCTTGATGCTGTACCATAACAGGATACCAATCGTTGAAAATTTGCTTGAGAGCACGGCCATCATCCTTGTGTTTTGCCGAACACACAAACAACCGCAACAGATCGTCGAGATCAGTCGTGATCTCATTCTCACTCAGCGTGAAGTTCCGAGCTAATCTGCAAGCCAGCAACATCCCCACAGCGACCGAGGTGGCAGGAGGACTATTGTAGCAGCGACGATTCTGGGTGACATGTCGTGCAGCGCAAACGATCTTGTCGTTGGCGCTGTCGTAGATTTTCAGGTCTAGCAATACGACTCGCTCGTCCTCGGATAGATTGGGGATGTCGTGCGATTTTAAGAGATGTTGGATCTTGAAGAGATCTCGGTTTTGATGATAGGAGCCCGTAGTGGGAATTCGGTCGTCCACTTCCATTGGTGGCATGATGGTTGTGCGGGCTGGTGGTGTGAGTTTTGGTGCACTGTTTGACGGCGATGGAGGTATATGCCTTTTAGTTGGTGTCAGAGCAGCTCTTACTGTAGAGATTGATTGATCAGAGATGGTCGAATGAGCTTCAGAATTCGGACGTTTTCGCTGTGAACTGTGGATGAGGACGCCCTGTATGGAGTAGTGATAAGACAGGTAGAAGAGAGGTAGGAAGAACAACTCGGTCCGTAGTTCAGCAGAACAGAGAAGGTAAGACACGTCGTTTGAAAGACCGTCAGAGCTGTCATATCCTCCCGTGTAATCATCCGTAAGGTAATGGCCATGCAGCCATCCGCACCTCGGCAGAAAACATGTTTCTTGACCTCAAGTTGCGAGAGATTGGTATCAGTCCAAGACATGGCAACCTTATCTTCCACTTGATCCAAAAGGCGTTGAAGAGCCTGTTTCGATCTTCGGTCTACTTCCAGAATCGCAAACTGCTGCTTTGAAAGCTATGCGTAGTTTGCGCGGAACAGGTAGCTTAGAGGGTATGCTATTGCAGCAAATATGGAACTCCACAGTATCTCCTCCTAGATCGGTACGCCAACTCATCTTCTTCCTTCTCCTTAGTGGCAAGACAGAACCCGAAGAGCTCCGGAATGTCGATAGTGATAGGCGCGACCATCTCGGAAACCATGGCCACAAAGCCCAAAGACAGTGGAGAGTCAGAAACATTTCTGAGGATAAACCGAGATGAATAATGCTCGTGCTGAGACATCAAGGAGTCGTACGACCCAGTGGAGGAGCATGTCTCTAGATGGGACAATCCTCAGGAACACGCAGGAGGAGAGGTCAAGAAGCCAGACTCGTTCGCAGTATCCCTGCAGTCAATCATATGTCCGCGAGTCTTGGTATTCAATTGTGAGAGATGGTGGACTGTTCCTATCCCAAGTTGACGCATCCTAGAACACCTCCTCTGTAACTCTCCTCCCAAACCAACAAGCTAATTCATCCTCCTTCTCTTCCTCAGCACCAAGAAAGAATCCCGTAAGTTTCATGTTATCCGTACTGTCATTTGTCTCAGGCCATGCCACATGGCACGGAGCACCTTTGGCCTCTAACATCTCCTTTGCCGTTCCCCAACTGAATCGACACTCGTTTCCCCACCCAAACACCGGATCCATGTTGGCTTTGAGCCAGTTGGAACACCTTGCATCAGACGGGTATCCGGATCCCCAAGCCACAACCCCCTCATCCTTTTCGCTGGCGTACGTGGTGTAGAGGACGTCGAGTGCGGCGTCTCGGGTCACTTTTGCACACACCGAGGCCGCTGAGACACAGGGATATAGACTATCTGCCTTTTTCGCGACGGTGATGTCCAGTGCTGGGAAGATTCTCTCCAGTTTCTTCTGATAGGCAGCCGGCTGGCCAATGGTGTCGATGTAAACTTCTCGGATGTTCACGCCGGAGTCCAAGACCTGCTGTATGAGATCGATCGTGGCGTCCATAGCTTGGGCATTGAGATTGTAAGTTCCATTCGGTCTCATCATGGCGGAAGAAATGTCTTGAGCGGACATTGATCTTGTGGCCCAGCCGCAATGTGTGTGGAGATCTGTTTCTGGTGTACAGATTCTTTCCATGAGTTCGGAACGGAATGCTGGAGTGAGAGCTTTTGAGTCGTCGAATTTGTGGGTGTCTGCTAGTAAAGAGCGGTGCATTTCTATTGGGAGGTAGTATAATGCGTATACCATTGGACCTTGGGGAAGTCAGCGAAGTTTGTTGAACGGATCTGTCAAACTATACCCAAGACAGGTCCTCTTCCTGCTTCATCTACACCTAAGCAACATGGTATGCTCATGTCATCCTGGAGTGTCTTTGGTATTGGGGAATGATGCGTATGACTGTCTCCGGAAAGTACTTGTGACTTGACGACAGAAGGCGGCATGAAGACATCCTCCGCGGGAGTCTCAAGCAGGACATCTTGAGTATTAGGCTGATCTTCCATTGCTTCGTCCATGATGCTGGGTTAAAGTGTGCTCAATATCGTGGATGTTAGATGCTTGATGCAGTGACAAATGTCTCGCGAGAATCTTGGAACGCGGAGGACGCGACTAGCGTGGGAATTTGGCGAGTCGACTGTCACGTGATGGAACTGGATGAAATATCTTTGGGATGATTGCAGCATAGCATACGGTAAAGTGTCTCATATTTGGAGGCTATGCGTAGCACACACATCGTACTGAGGAGCGCCTATCAGCCAGTGAACTCGCAAAGATATGTACAGATTGACCGGAAATTCTCTTGAACCGGCGGTACCTTATACTACCGACTGCGGACTGAATTGTCCCCGAACACGGAGGGTTTACGGAAACCACTTCTATCGAGGAGATCGAACAACTCGAACGATTCTTTACTCAAGCCGCAACGCCACGAAGCCGAATCCTTCCCCGTATGTACAACTCATGTAAGTCTAAGCGTCATGGTAAAAGTCGTGCTGCCTATGAGCTGACGAGCATGCCATTGGTGAAGGCTGTCGCCACCCAGGAGTATTCCAGCCACTCCAAAACTTTCAACAGATTCTCCGTCTGCTTCTGTGCCTCGTTGTATTCTCCCATCTTTGGGAGTGGGATTCTCAATCCAACAGTCTTGCCATCCGACGGAGCCCAGTAGTTCTTGATGTGACCTCTTGCGAATAGGACTAGTAGGAGCATAGCAGGTGACAAGCCAATATGTAGCCACTTTGGAAGAAAGTTTGAAAAGAATGCCAAGGTTCCTGAGGCAAGGATCGAAGCCAGGATCTAGACACATTCAGATCAATACCTTGGAGATGAGTTTATCAATCGATGCAGACGTACCGCCATAGCACCTGAAGCTTGAGTGGTCTGCGTTTTGTGCAGCTGTTTGGCAGCCTCTTTCGACCATTCTGCAAGCTTCTTCGAAGTTTCCTCGTACTTCTGCAGCCTGGTGATGGCCACAAAGGAGAGAAGACCGCCATAGAGACTCAACGCCAGCTGAGCAACGTGCTGACCACGCAGGAGGAATTCCCGAGCGGCGTCCATATCTGCCACTCTACCAAGGTATCGTCTTGGAGTACTGAAGTTGAGGATGGCAATGACGAAGTTGTGAAGTGAAGCTGAAAGTTGGTTGTCGGCAGGCACTAGACCCCTCCTTTGCTCTGATTGGCGGAATCCTCGTGGCTTACATTGTTTACAATTGTTGTTGGGCTGATCCTCGCGCGTCACAACCACGAAACTCTCCCGCACGCGCCTCATTCGCATCGTCCGAACATCCTCTTTTCGCTCATTCACCCCGCGCATTCGCTGCAGCAGATTGACGTCGTGGCGGCGTTGGGAAAGGAGAATCGGCCGCCGCATGGGATGGCGCCTGCTGCGAAGAGCACCACGCCGGGACGCCGCAAGAAAACGGACAATCAATACTTTGACGTGGGCAAGGTCGGCAGGTAGGCGCGGTTGAATCGAACAGTCTGGCGATGAAGGAGACCATACTGACGGTATGCGCGCAGAAAAACGGGCATCACCCTCAAAGACACGGGCATACGCGACGAACATGGATTGGAACCGGTTTCTGGCATTTTCTCATCGCCAACTTCACCCGATCAGAATGGTGGCAGGACGCTCACGAGCGAGGGAATGGACCTGGAGGATGGTGRGATTCAACCGAAGAGGACGATTGGTGGACATCAAGATCGTGAATGGCTGACTTCAGCAGATTCCGCGCCGGACATTACACAGACTTTGACGGGACGCAGGGTTCACATGCCTCCGCCACGCCAGACGACACCGCGACACACGAATATTGGATCTCCCAAGCGCATGTCCTCTGCGCGACCCACCTCGCGATCAGCAGTAGAAGATGCCGCTTCTTCACAACCTCTAACAAACGCGCCTGCGAATCGCAGATTGGACTTTGCAGGGACCAATCGAAATCGCAAGAGTGTTAATGTAGTCGATGGAAGCCCCTTCAAACCGAGAAAGATTCTACGGCGTTCGGACGGACCCGTGCGAAGAAGCATCTACGAACAAGTCGACGAGGAGGAGGAAGTTGAGGATGAGGCTGCGGTGGATCCCACGATTGCTGGCGTGGAGGACGACAGCATCGAGCACTCCATCGAAGACAATGATCAGATTATGATGGAGGATGATGTGCCGGAGGTGGAAGATGACCAGAGTGCGATTAGTGTGACCGAGACTCAAGCTCCCGCGAAAAGAAAGCCCGGAAGACCTCGAAAATCGGATCAATCGAACGCAAGTCTGGTTCAGCATTCGCCGCAAGTGGAAAGAACGAGCTCAGCAGGCAAAAAGCGAACCCGGACAAGCATGAATGACACGGACAACAGCATCTCTCAAGTACCAGTTATAGCATCTGGGTCTCGGCCAAAGAAGAGCCGGACCTCCAACACAGGAAGCATTCCTGTTCTTCGCGATAGTTACGCTGGCGATGACGACGCATACCCCATCGAAGTTGAAGACTACCCGGAAGATGAACAGCCCGAAGAGATGGAGGTGGATGCTCAACTCAATTCACAACTTCAAGAAGAGCCGGAGCCGCAGCCGCAGCCCAGAGGCAAGGGCCGACCAAAGGGCAAAGGGAAGAAGGCAATAGCGCCCAAAGAAAGGGATGCAAATCGATCCATGCAGAAGAAGGGAAGCCCCGTAAAAATCAATGATTCGCCTTCAAAACGGCATCGTGGCGGCAGCGCTGGTCCCGTTAGTAACGTCCAGCTGCGAGCAGTCACACCCTTCGATGACTCCAACCAGACGACTTCACGCGCGGGGAGGAATCTGATTCAGCCATTGAAATTTTGGCAAAACGAATCACTAATATGGAAAGGCGGAGAGATTGAGGGCGTAATTCGTGCGGACCCTGTCGAGCAGTCAAGAGCGGCTAGCAAAAAAAGGAGGAAGAGCAAAAAGCCCAAACGTTCAAAACTTAACGCCATCGAAGAAGAGAGCGACACGGAATCGATACTGCCAGATGAGTGGGAAGAAGAGATGGGAGTCATCACTGGCAATATTGCGGCCTGGAACCCACTCACCAACACCGCAGACCCCGGCGGCTCCAAACAAGAAGGTACGTTATTGTTTTCAACATCACTGAGAGAGGACGCTGACCCTGAAACCCAGACATCGCATTCGCCGCTTCGTCGATTGTCACACGAGACGTTCCCGGGTCTCAATTCAAGTACGCAAAGATAATGACTCTTCCCTTCTTCGGCGCGGGCGTGGTAGAGCTGCCACCGGGCGGTTTCAAACGAGCCAAGAACAGCCGGAAGATGCAAATGGTCTTCTTTGTGCATGAAGGCAAAGTTCTGGTGGAGGTGGGCGCGACGGGGTTAGAGATTAACGAGTTTGCGCTCAGCAAAGGCGGTTGTTGGATCGTCCCCAGAGGTAAGCTTCTCATCCCATTCCCAGATTCCTTCCTTCCCCCAGCGAGCACTGCATACCCCATCCGAACCGACGTCGTCTGGCTTCCAACCTGGATTGCTCGGTTCCGCACAAGTCATGGCCGACTTCGATCGACTTTTTCCACGAACCCGGATCCCTGTCAATGGCTGGTCAATCCCGCGAGGCGGTGAACACCCAACAAGAACAATCCGAATCGTTGCTGTCTGAGAAATGCAGCCAGCCTTGCGAATCGCGTCACGGTGGCGGTGAACCGGTGCAACCATTGCTGTCAAGTTAACCCTCTGTTGCACCGTCGCACCGCACGAGCCGTGGCGCAACATTACACAGCGCATTGCTCGGGCATTAGCGAGGCAAGCAGCAGTGCCACAGAACAGTCGCTCGCCTGTCTGCAGGGCAAGCCAACCACGAGTGGATCTCGAAGCTCGAGGAACTACCCCGGTCCATGTCGGCTCTTGCATGTCACCGCCAAATAGCGCCACACGATGCGCTTCGCTACTCGTCTGCGTGCGGGTCCTGCATTTTTTTTCTTCCACCCCTCCTGTTGTACGACGTTGCAGGCGCCGACGGAGTCTTGCTTTTTGTGTCTGCTCACCTCAACCCCGTTCGATCATCGTTCGCATACGCGAGGCATTGAAATTGGCAGGGATCGCTCAGAGCGCTAACCTTTGTGTGTTTGATGTATAGGAAACAACTACGCCATTACGAATGAGAGTGAGACGAGATCCGCCAAAGTGTTCTTCGCACAGGGCTGTGTGGTGGATGGTGAAGCCGCGGGCGATGGGCGTTGATGACCGTTTCTTTCTCATGAATCGTGCCAAGTCGTTTGGAGAGCAAAGCCGAGCAGGCACGATCTCGAATCGAACAAGTCGGAAAATGCGGGGAGATGTGCCTGTTCCCCATGTCTCGTGGAACTGAGAGATACTGTTTCATGTATGAATCTTCCGTGGTTGATGAGAGACGACGACGACGACGACGACCTCGCCCATCTACCATGCACAAGGAGGAGTGGTGTTTTGCTTCCTTGGGTCACGACGGTAATGATGCATGATGATAAAGACCGACCGAGAGATCAATCTTTCGGGGACTTTTTCGCGCTTTGCTTCGCTTGGATTGGATGGAATGGAGTGGAGTGGAATGGAATGGCTTGTTGGTGTGCGGATTTTTCTGTTTTGAGGCTAGATACCCCCAATCGCTTGCTCGTCTTGCCTTGCCGTGCCTTGCCTTGCCCTGTCTTTCCATGTTCTTTTTCTTTCGGCGGCGGCGCTTGTGCTTGCGGTTTGAAAATGTCTCGAAGCTACCAGGTTCGGGAATATCTCTAGACCCTCCATCATGCATTTCCCCCGTGCGGTGAGTGCTCTTCTGGTCATGCGGAATGATTTTTTTTCCCTCGCTCTCTCCACAGTCCGGACGTTGTGATCGACGGAGGATTACAAACAGTGGTAGAGGGTCTGAGATTGACCGGGGGATGCTTGTTGATGATGATGACGATGATGGAGATGTGATGTTCTTTGCCGTGCTCTCTCTCTCACCGACATTATATCGGAGGATTCTATACACTTTTCTCTCTTTCTAGGTATTATCCCTTTTTAGGTGTGGAGGTCGGACCATTACTCGGGTGTGCTACCTACAGTACATACGATGCGATGCGAGAGTTTCGGGCGAAGGAAAAGTAACTTTTTTTTTGTTGCACACAATGGAAGGTGGTGGGTTGCGTGATGAACGAGTGGGTCTCCCTGTGGGGGAGGGGGAAAGTCCTCCCCTTCGGTTCCATTCCTTCCTTCCTTGGGCAGAAAGTTTAATAAAGGCTGGTGGAAGTTTAATACCTTAGGCGATAATGAATGGGAGCGTAGGTACCTATCACATGGTGGCAGCGGCAGTGGATTTATGCGTGTTGGCGAGCATGCATGCATGATTGATTATTATAGCGTGGAGGGTCTTAGTAGGGAAGATACTTTTCTCCTACTAGTAGATGGCGGCGTTTTTCTGTGCTCGGTTCCGAATAGATACATGTTGTGATGTACATGTACTTACTCCGGAGTAGCGTCTTTGGGAAGTTTGCTAGTATGACGCACTGTATATGCTGACCAGAGCAATGGAGGTTTTGTGACGACTTGCATGTTGCTGCGGGTCAAGATGGTATCCCCATGCAACAACATTGGATGGGTTTCCAACGGTGGACGTTTGAGTGAATTTGTCCCCAGTCAAGGATGTTCATCAACCTTTGCATCGAGGTCTYGGACTGCCCATGGTAAGACTGGGACGACCTGCATATGCATGCCATCTCAACGGCTAACGGCAGCGATAGACTTCACCCTTCACCGACCACGTCAATGTTGGGCAAACATGCGTGGTCTTCGAGTTTCCGGGGCTTGCGGCAGTCTGACAATGGACCGGACAGGTGGTTGTGCCTTGATCATTCGATTGTGGATGATCATCTGATGATGCATTGCAGTGCAGCCGTTAATAAGAACCAACTTTTTCGAGCAGAGCAAGCGCTGCCAACTTGCTGCCAACCGTGAAGACATCCTCAAACATCAAAACTCGTCATCCTCATCGGCGAACTCGTCAAGAACAGGGAAATCTCCGACCTCGACTCGCTCGGCGCGGACAAAGACTCCGAAGTTTGGCTGACAGTCAAAGTACCTCTGTCCCTTGGCGCTGCYGTCGTTCTTGCCGGTGGGTTCGTCCAGAGCAACGCCCACCCAAGCGCCCACACCGGGGATTTCGGGAACGTCACCGATGTATTGCACAGTTCCCCGGCGGTGGTCAGTCTCTGGTAGCAGGCGACACCGTGCACCTTGCTTCACGCCTCGCTCCTCCACTTCGCGGTAAGAGACGTTGACCTTTTGCTGCACAATGTCAGGTGCGTTGGGATCAAAGCGGCCAAGTTTTTGCTTCTTCTTCCAGGCGAGAACGCTGTCCGTACGTGTTTCGTACTCGTCCACGGGCATTTCATACTTTTCCACCCCGGAGACGTCGGTGTAGTTTGTACGGACGCCGGGCGGGCGAGTGTCCACCACCTATCATGTTGATATTATTAGTCAAATTGTTCCTCAATAATGTAGAAGCAATTGTAACAATCAATGCATGTTCGTTTTTGATTGTGCAGTGCAATGCAAGCCAGCCAACCTGGTTAATGTGGCACGAGTGGAAAGGGTGTGATTCTAGAATCCGGGCTGGAGAAGGATTCGGATGGTGGGAATGTAAGGTATGGATGGGTGCGATGAAACGTGGTAAACCTTCCGCCACCTACCTGCAGTTCTGCATAGGCCTGCAGCGGCCACGATCCTATTTGCGTCGTCTMATCATCTGCGGCCTCGATCGGCAGCGGCGGCTGCGACCCAATCTTCAGGCTGAGGCGCTGGCACGAAGCAGGAATGCCCGTGATGGGTTCCAGACGGCCCTTGAGCGTCGCAATGGTCCATGCGGGCGACACGCGCCGCTCAGACGAGGAGGTGTCGGATCGAACGAGCAAGGGCACATCATGCGACGTTGATAGGGAAGCCATCGTGAGATCGGGTACAAAGTTTGCCGGCGGGATCTGGATGAGCGAGCGCGTGGGATGGGTTCGGTAAGGTAAGGCAAGGGAGCTTTCTAGGTAAATTCTCATCAGATGAGATGCCAGTGCAGCTGGGGTCTTCTTTTTTAGATTGTGATGGCCTGACTCGTGTGCTTGGGCGTGACCTAGAACTAGATTCTCCGAGCCTCACTACCTACCCAAAATTGACCGTACTTGCCGTACCTACCTTACGGTCCCAATTTACAATGCCGGCCAATGGAAGTGCACAGCGGAGGCCTGGATGGAGATGCGACCTATGCTTGGAGGTGAAAGGCTTGATGAAAGGGTCGGGAACGTCATGTACACATTCCGCCGCGATCTTGCGAGACCTTTTCCCGCCGCGCTTGTGCTTCACCATCCGTCCCGTACCTTGCCCGCTATGCAAACATGGACACTTGGCCGAGATTTCCAAACACTTTGAGTTAGAGCTGGATCGCACCCGGACATTCTATAGGCATCAGGTGCAAATGCAAGTTCAAGGGAGTAGTTCGGCGCTCGTTCCTTTAGCCAACTCTAATCGTTGTTCGCCGTTTCGTCCTCTCGCCGCCTGTACGAAGACATTTCTGACGTTGACGTTGACGTGGCCGCGTCTCGCCTTATCATTGTTGATACACTTGGTCATCACCATCATCAGCAGAATCACCATGTCCGCGCACTCCGCGCAGGGGCACTCCTTTCCCTCGACCAACCTGTCACTGCTCACCACATCACCGTTGATTACATTCCGCGCGGCAGGCAGGCAGGCTCCCAGCCCACCGGCGACGGCATCCCTCCATCTCCGTCTCCATATCGGAAACACAGCCGCCTAATTTGCTAGCCCACCCACGCACGCACGCACTTGCCTCACCCCCAGCTTTGTCGAACGACATCTGTGCTTTTTCTGCAGCTAGCTCATTAGCTTCCCAGCTTTCCAAGCAATCATTCATCAAACCTGCATCGACCTCGACGCAAGCCATCTGTGCAGGCCCATCCTTGGCGCAAGGCCCGGACGGACTATTGTTGTGGCAATGCAATSCAACGCCCAAGTAGTCAACTCCGTTCACCGCCATCGCCTTCCTGCCGATGGTGAGCGACTCGACCAACGGCCACGCACAGGACGCTTGCTGGGTTGTCGATGATGAGGAATGGCTCTCGACTCGACACAGTGGTCACGGGACGGTCCCTGGGAAGACGTCGCACAAGGTCGCTTCAACGTCAGTAGTGCACAAGCATTGTTGATTGTGGATGCCACTCCCCGACCCACTCTTCGTCGGCAGTTCACCGCTTCCAGTCTGCCTGCCTGTCGATTGCCACGAGCGTGCACGCTTCACCTTCTGAGACACACTACTACATACTACACTCCTACGCTGACATCGGCGGATTATCCTCGTCTTCGCTTACACGAGCGTATCATGCAAATCCGATCTGGCCGCTTTCGACGATTGCATCGGCGAGTTAGAATGGGCTTCGGCCTCGTATGGAAGAAGCATGTTTTGCAGATCATCGTTCATTAGATCAGCGCCTGCTCCCGAGCAAGCCCTTAACTTTAAGCCGGTGAGATCGAAAGCGTGCGAGCCTTCACCGCCCGCTCGGGTGGGTGCGTTCCCTCGAGTCAGAGCATGCGGCGGCTGTGGATTCCGACGTGTTCGARTTTCCCGTGTCCAGCGACGGGCGACAACCAACGTTCTCCTGTCTGCACGAAATGCGGGACTCGGACGGCATTTGTTTGGTAGTCTAGCCATCCCTAGCGGGTGTCCGACGTCACAAGAAGATGTACCACCGGTGCTTGTGCATGATGAGCGCGCTCGGATCGCCAGCTAAAATATCCCTGGCGAAACTGTGCCTCAAAGTTCACGGTTCATGATGGGAAAACATCCTGGCTCCCGCCGGCGAAACCTACCGCCGCATGCATGACATGGCGCGCTTCCTCTGCACCTGCCAGTGCAGGGCCGCATCTTCTGTTTCCACCACCTGTATTTCGTTGTAGATCGGCCCAGTCGCCGCATGCCGCTCGCCAAACTGCAGCAAAGGAGCCAGTCCTTGGGAGAGCTGGGGCCCGGGTCCTGCTGCAACATCGTCCAGTCCTTACTTGGCAGCTTGTTGTTGACACGATAGGTCCACGCTGTTTCATCCCTTGCTGTGTCTGTCATTGGCCCACTATCCAGAGGGTCGGAAGGAGGCTTGACCTTTATTATTGCTCGCATCGCGCTCCGCTGCACGCCCTGGGCTGGGCTGGGAGCATCCGCGGCTGGCGCGAAGGTTGTGCGTCGGTTCTTCATTAATCCCTTCACGCTCTGTTTCGAGCTAGGTTCCCTCCCTTCTGCACATACCGATTCATCTTCGTCAAAATCCTCGAAGCTGAAAATACACACACGTCAATCAAGCCTGTCATTCCACCGCCCGCAGGTTCGAAACGACCTTGGAACTCTTCATCATACAGCCCACCCTCGGCTGCCTGTTCCGTTGCTACATACACGAAGTTTCGCCATGCAGGGCTATCCTCGTACACTACAGACGCTGGCATTTTAGGCGTCTTATTTGAACCGTCGATCGTCTTCGGAGCCCAGTTTAAGCGACCAATTCCCGTGGACACTGAACTGGTTTGAGAACGTCGTTCTGCGAAGCGAAAGGGTCCCTCTCGGCCTATAACGGAACCGTATACATTCGCTGCTGTCGCCATACTCTTTCACTCCCATTACCTTTTGCTGTCTTGGCGTCGTCGGCAGATAGAACAACTGACCTGGTATATACACACACACACGGCTGGTTGGAGTTCCGAGATTGTATTGTTGTCTCTTCCGTTCAAGCATTCCAGCCCTTGACACCATCTTGGTGTTTCCGGATCGATCCTCCCAACAGTACATGAGCTGGCCGCGAAGCCAGCACCCGCCGTCATCGTGGATATCTCATCACTAGTGGAGCGGTCAGAGTCCGCACCGTCTCCCGACAATGCCAGCACAAGCTCCAGAACGACGTCCAGCAGCAGGGCGAGAGAGGATACGGGAACCTCTGCTCAGGCTTCCATCTCAACAATGACGACAGCATCCACACCGGCGCCAGTCTCGGTACCACCAGTAGACATTGTTCAGGACTCGCAGCGCACCTTTCCCCCCATGCAGACCATGCAGCCAGTACAACCAGTCCAACCAGTCCAACCAGTGCAACAAATGCCACCGCAACCGATGCATTATTCGCAGCACTTTCAACATCCTCCTCATCTACAATACCAGCCACATCCAATGACGGGATACTCACCATACCCCCCGTCCTCAATGTCGGATCCGAGACTGGCTCCTCCGATAGCGCTGTCCCATGGTCCGCCACACGCTGGTGTCAAGCRACTGGCTCCTCCTCATCCTCACCCTGCCGAGACGCCAGCGAAGAAGAAGCAGTCCAAGTGGACTGGTGATGAGGATCGATCGATCATTGAGCTGCGAGGGAATGGCATGAAGTGGGWGGACATCTCAAAGCACCTACCGGGGCGCAGTGCCATCAGCTGCCGTCTTCGCTTCCAAAACTATCTCGAGCGTCGCTCGGAATGGGACGAGGAGAAGAAGAACAAGTTGGCACGGCTTTATGAGAGGTATGTCAAGTATTTTACGTTGGTCTTGTGATTTGATACTAACGATCATCCCAGATTTAAAAAGGACATGTGGGAGAAGATCTCCAAGGAGATGCAACTACCCTGGCGAGCGGCAGAAGCCATGCACTGGCAGATTGGCGAAACCGAGATGGCCCAACGAGCAAATGTCCCCGTCTTTCACCTGGCAGGACAGCAAGCCTCCGGGCCTGGACAGACGGGTGTGGGATCGGAAGGACGGCCCAGCACGYCGCCGTCATCGGGCAATCCTCTCCCTCCCGGGATGGCATACACTCACGCCCACAGTCTTCCTCACGTCCCGCAACCTCTAGCCCACCCAATATCTCCAGCACAGACGAGGTTTCGACGGAGTAGTGACGAAGACTCTCCCAACGGCGGACCCTATCTACGACGGATGCGCGCGGACTCGGCTCGATCGGTCCCTGCATCGTCACTCTCGAGAGCACCATTACCACCTCTAATGGACGTCAATGGCGGCCATCACCAGCCGCCTGCGAGATACACCCTACCGCCTGTCATGACATCAGATGGTGGGAGAAGATGAACACTTGCTTTGGTTGGCGTAGTATGCATAGCATGGCATGGCGGATTGCACTTTTGGGTCTTGATTTTTTTGTGATTATAATAGCGGAGTTTGCGGATCCACGACGATGACGAGATGATGATGAAGCAACGCAGACGACGACGCGACGCGACGCAAGGCATAGAGGGGCGAAGAGTAAAAAGCGAAGAGCGAAGACAGTCCGTTGCTGCGAACGAAGATCACGATGATTAGGCGTTTCTTGTAGAGTCGCAATTGGCGATGGCGGGGCAATGCGGAATGAAAATATACCTAAATTAATTAAAAATGGTCTCTACATTGATTACCTACTGTATGCTGCGACGTCCAGATATACTTTTCCCGTGCTCCCGAGACATTGTTTTTGATTCCCATGTGGTCATTTGATGGGAAAGTTTGCGAGGCGAGAAGAAACGGACTCGGAGATTACATAGACGAAGTTTAGGCTTGGCGTGATGTMTTGGGGTGAAGCATGTCCCAGGGTCGTCTCAGGAAACCTAATGCATCCGACGGGACTTGACGTTACTACCTAGTAGGTCTGTGACGAAGGACTACAGGGATGACACACCGATTCCTCTCTTCTTCACGGRTCACGACCGAGCGATGCTGTTGTTAGCATGATCATCATCATCTGAGAAATCCATCCTTGTGCAACGACCTCACGAGAACAACACATGGCTTCCTCTGCCGACTCCCTTGGGGGAAGCTTACTGGCTTGGGTACATTCCTTCGAACACGTCGGCAAAGTCGAGCATTTAGGCGAACTCAACGACGGCAAAGCCCTCTGGGCCATTCTGCAGGACGTCTCGCCCGATTACTTCGCCGGAAGTCTCCCGGAGCCAGAGATTGGCGCGTCGAGCGAATGGACGCGAAAATGGCAGAATCTCAAGCACTTGGAGAAGCAGTTGTCCATGTACTATCGCGATGTCTGCAATGGTCAGACGGATCCCGCAGCTTCCACAGGCCCGGATCTGCAAGCTGTTGCTGCGGGCTCTTCGATTCCCGATCTGGAGAAGTTGATCATGGAGATTATTCGCGCTGCCATGGCTTCGCCGGAGTCGAATCAGAGGATGGGAAAGAGGTTGCTGGGGTTGGGGAATGAGCATGCCATGGCGATTGCGTATGAGATTCGGAGTATGCAGGATGCGGAGGGGCCGCCGGATACAGCGCCTGGGAGTCGGGATGAGTCGGCGTATCAGTCGGAGCAGGAGTTGCCGGAGTCTAGACCTGTTTCGAAGAAGGAGAATGGTGGGTTGTTTGGGGATCCTTTGCTGGAGAGGGAGGAAGAGCTGCTGCAGGCCCAGGCGACGATTGAGAAGTTGCAGGCCAATCAACTTCATGCTCAGAGGCAATTGCATGAACTTCGGCAGGATAAGGAGTCGCTTCAAGAGGCGTTTGATGCTTATCGCTCGGAGATCAACACCAAAGGGCGGAAGCCGGGAGGTGGGGAGGATAGTTATCTGAAGCTGCAGCGACAGGCTGAGAGTGATCGGGCATACATTGATGATTTGGAGAACCAGTTGCAAGCTTCTCGAAATGCTGTCGAGGCTGCTGAGAGTCAACTACAGCGTGCCAAAGCCGATCATGAAGCTGGACAGACTCTCCGCGATGAGCTGCAGATGTTGAAGACGGAGAACGACGACCTGAATCAAAAGGTCAAGGCGAATGAGAACCTCAAGAAGAAGATTCAAGTCCTACAAGAGCAAGACAAAGTCAATGCATCACTCCGTGAAGAGCTTCGACAGGCCTCCGAGCGGCTCGAAGATCTCGATCGCCTCAAGCAGATGCAATCCAGCTTGGAAAAGGAGATCATCGAGAAAAAAGGGCTGATCCGAAATCAAGAATACCAAATCAACGAACTGACCACCACGCGCAAACACGCCGAATACGACGCCCGAGTCCTCGCACAAAAACTCGAAGCAGCACGAGACAGACAAGAACGCGACCACGAAGCAATCCAAGAACTCAAAACCCGTCTACAAGAGCACTCCCCAGACGACGACATGGACATTGAACCCCCAGAACAAAATAGTCCCACCGAAACCTCCTCCTCCACTCTCAACAAACCCGCCACCCGCAAACCCGACGACGAAAGTAAACCCTACAAAGACCAATTAGCCCTCCTAGAAAAACAACTCGAAGCAGCCGACGCCCGTCTCAAACAAGCTTCTCAACGCTACGCAGCCCTAGAAGAACAAACCCAAACCCGCCTCACCACATCCGCAGACAACGATAAAAACGAACAACGTCTCCAAGATCAACAAGAAACTATTGCGGAATTACGCAAAGCGTTGGAAATCACCACTACTAATCAACCTCCTCCAAGGGATATCCTCCCTCCGGATATCGCGGCGCTGCAGAGGGAAAATCGCCTCATGGTTTCTGCTTGGTTTGATTTGTCGGGACGATTGCAGCTTAATGGGACTTCTTTGGGGAGGAGGAAGGTGGAGGCTAGGAGTTGGATCGGGAGGCAGAGGGCGCTTGTTGGACCTGGGGGTGGTGTGGTGAGTCCTTGATCTTTTGATTTGATTTTGATTCGATTTGTGTGTTTGAGCTGATTTTGATTTGCGAACTTTTTAGCAGAGATGATTTTTTGATATTTGATATCGGGAATTTTGGTGGATGGTTGTTGTTGTTGTGGTTGTTGTTGATGTTGTGAAGCGTTTGATGGCGAGAAGATTTGATAGCGATATACCCCCTTCTGCAGTTCCGCCTCTGCCTGGGGCTTTTGTGGTAAAGAGTCCTTTTCTGAATGAATGTGGTATTGCAATTTTGGCCAGTTTACAGATTTTCATGTTTCTGTCAATTTCAGTATATCTGTGCCAATCCGTGGGCCACGCGACTTCTTGCGGATTGTGGTTTGGCGAGATCCTCATGACAAAATGTCTTCACGGGGAGGGAAACTTGGAACCTTGCTCAACTTCTGCATTCCTACATCGTTCATATGGTATTTCCTTCATCACAAGCACATCCCAACTATRGTATATCCGGTTCCTTTCCGGTTTCCCCTGGTCTTTTCAATCTCGACCTTCCATTTCCACACACAGGACACACACTGACAAACGGTTCATACCCCGCATCAGTGTCAATGCACATCTCTCATGCATATCTCATCCTCAAGCCTTGACGGTCCTGCGAGCCTTTTGGGTCATTTCGTACAGCGCATCCTTAAATGCGAAGAGGAAGGCAGCCGTGATGACGGACTGTGTGACCTTTGGTCCAATGCCTGTGAAAATGTCAGATTTGCAAACACTTTCGTTTGATTGAATGACATACCGCCGTAGAGACCGCCAACACCTTCCTCCTTGTAAATCTTCTTTAGAGTCGCGGTCATGCCCATCTGAGGACCCTCCTTGCTTGCAACGTGTGCACGGGACTTGACTGTAATGTATGGGTATGTGATGGACGTGGCAGCAAGCTTGCCCAAAGCTCCCATGAGGAAGCTATCGGTCGCCGTAACCTTGCGTCGCTTCTCCACCGCCTGCTTCAATTGTTCGAAGATGGTGTACTGCAGGATGGGGTTGATGACCAAGACCAAAGCTGGCAGAACACCTGCGAAAAGACGCAGTGGGCCATCTTCCCGGATGATCTTCATGAGGGTGGAGATGGTGCCCGGCTGGTTGGTCACTCTTGGCTTCTCGCCCTCCTTGGTGGGGAGAACCGTGGACTCTCTCTCACGAGCAGTCATGCGGGTGTTGACAACCCAGATGGGGTTGGTGAGGAGGACCGTCGCAGATCCCGCAAGAGCACCGGCTGCCATGGACTCGAGCGTGCTCAGCTGGAGCTTCTTGGTCGTGCGCTGGAAGAATGCGCGGGAGAACTCATACCCTGGCGTGTAAGATCAGCATGTGTGCGCTGATCATGCTCCAACATGTACCTACAGTAGTAGTACACAAAGTTTGTGACGGTGATGCCGAACAAGGCGCTGTCCAAACCGGCATATAGTCCGGTAATGCCCTCTCGGTCCAAGATCCTCTTCGCCGCATCCAATGTGCCTGTCGACGCCTTCTTCTTCTCCACTTGTGCTCGTGTGGACAGGGTGATCAACGGGTATCTAWCAACATCTTTCAGTCCTCGGCTCGTTTGCTGCCGTGAGATCAAATTGCGGGGACGAACGTCAAGGCCATGGAGAGGAGACCTCCACCTGCTCCGGCGAGCGCATGCGCCACATTATCGCTCTGTTGTTCGGCGGTGGTGGTGGTTTGGACGGCCTCTTGGATCTCCTGCATCGGGATAGTTGTTTTAGCAGACGTCACGTCCGACGCGTGGGTTTCGTACCTTTTGGGAAGACATGATGTGTTGGTGGATGTGAGGTTSAAGATGGTGGGGGGTATTCGGTGGAGGACGGTCTCACTCAGGTGTAATCACGGCGGAGTGGAAGTGGAAGAGGGGATGTAAGGTAAGTCGCCTTGTAACATCCCGGTCCACGCTCTGTATTTCTGTACCGACAGCTTTGCCCATGTGAAAGTTGCCTAGCTTCACTTCCCACGAAATGCCTCGGCCATGACCCCATCCCGTCCCATAACATAGCGTCACGAGCATCATATCATCATCGCCAAATCCGATCTCACCCGACCCGCAATTTCTTCACCTAATTACCCTTGTTCAGCATTTTATCCGCCTATTTCGACCTCACCTGCTCCAACAACTCCAAATCGGGCCCGTAAAGCAACTTCACTTCAAGCAGCGCATGCTGTCCGCTGTGTGGTGCTTTCGCCGCATCGTCTCATGCGAGTCTGCGTTTGCGAGCATTCTCGGCTGAGAAAGTGCACTTTGTACAGTCAGTGCACCGCTGCTCACTATAGTCCCGCCCATCCATCACCTACTACCACGAGAGCCCGTCTTGTGCGCAAGGCGGACCGCCCGTTTCCTCTCGCACAGGGACATGTATCGTCAGAATTCCGGCGCCGGCGCCCATCACCAATATCAGCTGTCAGCAGACGCTTCAGAATCACCTTTCGCACAGTCACAGTTCCAGTCGCCCATGTACGGCATTGACCCAAATCTGCAAGGATCACAGCACCTCCAGCCTGGTGTACGCCAAGGAAGCACTCGTCCATCCTCTCACAGTAGACAATCCTCGGTGGAGAATCCGGGCATGATGCATCCTCCCAACAGCTCATCGCCAAGAGTGGCAAACACAACGCCAGGTCCCGTGGGATATTCACCAGGATATCGTCCCAGCGACAGGACACTACCATCTAGAGATGTGACCCCAGACACCATCACAGATGCTTTTGTAGACTTCATCCTGTATTGTAACCCTCATTTCCCGCTCGATGTCGACTCGGCGATGCTCCGGAGTACCTTTCAGAGCCCTCCGAAAAGTGATAACAAGGACTTTGAAATTTTCCGTCTGTATGAGCTGCTCCAGAAATTCGACTCCAAAGAGATCAAAACGTGGGGACAACTCGCACTGGACCTGGGTGTCGAGGCACCGGATGTCTCCAAAGGGCAGTCGGTGCAAAAGGTACAACAGTACAGCGTTCGCTTAAAGCGATGGATGCGTGCGATGCATGTGGATGCATTTTTCGAGTTCCTACTTGGCAAACAGCACTCGTACTTTGTGGACATTCCGCATCCCAGCGATCCATATCCACCGGCTGGCCGCGATGGAGTCACTGCTGAGGAGGATCTTGCAATCAGAGCATTGGATCCTTCTTTCAGACCGAAGCGGGGAAGACGACGGAACTCAGAAGCCGAGTTGGACGACAATGCCGGATCAGAATCGGGAGACAGGGCTTCAAAACACCTCGACGCTGCGTTCATACATCAACATCCTGGTGGTACAATGTCTGAGATGTCGATGAGTGCACACCCTGACGGTTACAATGACCCGTGGGCCGTGGCATCAGCTGTGACACCACAAAGCTTCGCTCCGTGGTCAGGACGGCCGTCTGCAATTGGAGCCTCTAATCTGAGGTGGCAGCTAGGTCATGCAAACACGCCCAGCTCTCCGCATCCAATGACAGCTTTACCAACATCCATGTCTGCACATATTGATGCTGCATTTGATGGTGAGCCGAAGTCTGCCGTCACGCCATCATCTCGGAAGAGAAGACGGCATGGTCCTGCGGTATCCAGTGCATGGCCTTCTGCCAATGCACCAGGCGCAAAGCCCAGAGGTAGACCTCCCGCCAGTCGCAACACCCAGGACGGCCCTTTTAGTACGTTTCCCGTCGATCCCTCCAATGGGAAAGAAAAAGATCAACAATCTACCTCCCATCCGGCTCCTGCAGACACTCAACCAAACCTCGAACAGCCATCGCCTCAGATTCCCCAGCCCATGTTCCAGCTTCACGGAGAGGGTAGACCCAGTAGACTGTCACTCCACGTCCCACAGCGTACAGGTGCGCCTGTACGACTTGCCACTCCACCCATGCTCATGGTTAATGGCGAGACTGGTGCGAGTGGGACAGCAAATGAGATGGAAGATGGGAGAAGGGATATCTCCGAGCCGCCACTACTCACACAGATTGCCGCCCAGCAATATACTCCCCCAATCAGAGCAGCTCCTGCCTTTACATTCGAGACGCTCAAGCGTGTTGTCACGAGCGATTTACTTCGTGCAGATATTTCCGGCCGCCGGCAACGTTTAACTGGCGATGAAGCAAAACGTCTCGCCGACTCAGTATTAGATCGTCTCGGAGTCCCGAGAGAGGAAACTGCGGTTCCACGCGATCACATCGCACGTCTGACAGCAGCATCATGGCTGGGAGTCGGCGATCAAGTCAACGTCCCTCTCGGACCTGCCACGGGCCACGGGAAGAAAATCAACGTGACGCGGTTCCGAGTCGGACCCGATGGCTACGAGGAAATCATCTATGATGAAGACGCACAAGGCGTTCGCGAAGTCTTTGATATTTTCTGGCACGTCAGTCTTGGGGGTTGCATGGGGAGTTTCGAAATGAAGGGTTTATCTCTTTCGGCCTCGTCGTTGTCTGGTGGGGCTGCTACTGCTGGGGAGAGTGTAGAAACGACGCATGATATGATGTTGAGGAAATCTTTGGAGGCTTTGCATAAGTTGAATAAGAAGGGGTGGGTGGAGGGTAGTATGCAGGAAATTGCGAGGTCTGTGGCTAGGACTTCTTCGCATCAGCAGGATGATAATATTGATTGGAAGGCGAGGTGTAAAGCTATGGAATWTGGGACGATGATTGCTAAAGGGGAGGTGGAGAGGATGAGGAGGACTATGGTGGAGAAGATTATGGATGCTGTTTTGTGAGGGAGTTGGTAGGTGGGCTGTACAGTTACGACTTTCTTGAGGGGTTTTTGGGGAAGGGCGAGAAGGTGCTTTCTCACTTTACTTGCTGTACGTACAAGCAAGCCCGCTTGATGATCAGAACTCCAGCTTTTCACACTTCCCTGAGCCTGTCAGCTTGAACATTCCCAGACGATCTGACAAAAGTACAGTACGGCGATCCAGCCGTCTTTACAGTAAGGATCGGGGGTAATGATTTTGTGTCGCGGAAGGTGCTCGTGCCGAAGACCAGAAAGAGTGTGTTGTTCCCAGGGGATCTGATGACGACGGCTTTCATTTCAGCTTGGAATCCGGTACGATTGGAAAGGTATGTTTAATCTCCCTATCATTAGCCTGGTCCTTGCTTCTCTTTCGTCTCTATCTCTTGATGGTAGCGTTATTATGCGTAAGCCCCTGGGTCAATGATGAGTCAGATGTGTCTACGGCGTGGCGTCTATTCTAGACCCCCCGGCTTGCTCGCCTGCCTGAGATCTACTTGACAACACATTCAGATATTGAGGTGTTGAGATATCTGTGCGCAGTGCTATCTCCGTTTTCGTACCTTCTCGGCACCGCTACTGAAAGTAAGCAAGAACGCTGGTGAAACAAGGAGGATTCCCACGCGAGTTCTTATTGCATGTCGTGGGGTGCTGGAAGTGAAGGAAGAAAAAGATCGCAAACTGTTGCGCCAACTGGGCGTATCAGTCACGAGCTACAAAGACGCAAGACCAGCAAAGACAACACTCATCCGCCAGTTACGTTAGTAGTATATAACCATCAAAAGCTCAAATATATTGAAATTTGACTCTTTGATAGGGGCTTGCAATACGGAATCGTAGCATTCAAAGTCACTGTAACTTTGCCTTCTCTTGCCGCACCCAACGAACCACCTTCTCTGCTGCGCTAATATCGTGATCTTTCTTGGATATATCAAAGTCCTCGTCGATCCAGCCCGGCGTTCCCGCAGACAACAGCTCAGCGCCAAAAGCTTTGCAAGAACCCTAGTCAATCACGACAAGATGATCATTATCGTCCAATGCGATATTCGAGGGGTTGATGTCGTTGTGTGCAAGTCCGAGAGAATGGATGTGCTGCAAGGCAGCTTTCAACCCCTGTTCAAAGGCCTCTACGTCGAAGGCCGAGGCGTCGCGGAGAAATCTGTGATCTAGGATTGAATGGTATCGTTCAAGTACAATGCCGGTTATACGCCCACGCTTGGCTACACATCCATGATACGGAACGATATTTGGATGGGGGTTTTTCTTCAGAATCTCGAGAGTGTGGGCTTCGTCGACGAGCATTCGAGGCACCAATGGTGCAACATCTTCATCGAGCAGATGATACAACTGCGGGCGCTTGATGAAACAGGTCCTAGGGTCCATATCAGGAGCGATCGTAATATCTGGAGGTAATGCCGGAAAGGCTTCTTCGTCAGGGCATTTGCGTAGGCCAGTTATGAGATCCTGAACTGACAGTTCCCGTTTTCCTCGCTCTGTATTCTCCCCAACCCAGGCGTAATCGTCTGGATCAAGATGGGTAAACATTGACCGAATGAACCGGGATGTGCCTATTTCGTGCTGTTCGAACAGGACGACATCTGCCTTTGTTTGAATGGCAGGTGCAGAGTCGGGCAGACTGATAGCAGATGCAGAAGCCATGACTGAAAGCCGTTGATGAAGGTCAAGCGCAGACTGTCGGGTGTACGCGGCGGAGAGACGTGTCTGTCTATGCAATAGAGCGGTGACCTCTGCAGAGTATTCAGGTTTCAGATAGATCCGACGCCCCATCGCAGGTTTTTGGCGACTTGCGTGCCTTACCGGTCAGGCGGGGTACTAGCTCTCACTGCGAAGTGCAAAGAGCATACTTCTCCTGTTCGGGTACTTGGACGCATCTTGAAGCATTGAAACTCATCAAAGCATACAAGTCGTAGAGCTACATGTAGATTTTATTCCGCGCTGCACTCCTGGTGCGCCAATGCAGATTCTATTCACTTCTCCGAGTCCTGAATCACAATTGTTTCCGGTCGTGATTCCCCCGCAGGTTCTCCTTCCAGAACTTGAGAACTGTTGGCATGCACGCGAGGCTTGCCTGTAATATCTCGCCACATACCTCCAAAATTCCGCGCTATACTAACTCTCCCCTCCCAAAGAGGATAAAATCCAACAGCCAAGGTAGAGCACATGAGCCATATGATACCAACAATAACCCATCCCGAGAAAAACGCTTGGTTGAAAATGTATCGAGTGCCGAAGAGAGGCATGGGCCATAGAACGAGTAGAACGATCGTCATGATCGATGTTGTATACTTTGCAATCTTCGAGGCGCGGAGCAGTTTTGCTTGCTCTGCGGCTTGTTGTCCCGCRTTTGCGTCCATGTTCCGTTCCTCGTCGGGGTTTTGAGCAAGGCGATCGTTGGTGGTCTTTTCGGAGTCGTCGCCGAGGCGAATTTGTTTCATTGATACCCAATCGTAGTCGTCTGGCTCAATGTTAACATGGGATTTCGAGGGGAAGAGAGAGGCCACTTACCGATACCGAAGATGAGTGTCAGAACTCCAATAAAGATTGCTGGCGAGAGAAGCGCAACCACATTACCGGCGAGCATTGGATTGTTACTACCAGACGTCTCCACACTGACGACTCCGTCGTTCAGCTTCGAGGTCGTCACGAGCCATGCGGTGATGCTGCATGCAAGTCCCAAAACGGGACTGAGGGTGGCAGCCCAGCGATTCTGACCCTTCCACATTAATGTCATGGTCGCAGGTAGAACTGCGGAAGAAATGATAACGCCCATGAAGAGGTACAACCAGCCCATGCTATACTTGTGTCAGCTTGATCTCAGCAAGTCTTCGAGTGTTGAACATACCTGATGCCCGCGTAGAACAGTCCGGTGGACAGAGACGCCATGAGGATACCCCATAGAGCGACGCAAGCATGTGAAGTGTAAATCAGACGTGCTCCGCTAGCCTCCGGATTGATGTATGTTCCGTAGACATCATAAGTCAAAATGGAGGACACAGCGATGAGCTGGGCAGAGAATGCGCTAGTGACTGCCATGAATACGATCAGTAAAGTGGCTACTGCGCCACCAGATCCAAGCAAAGCAACAGCAGCGTATGGAAGCGTCAGTCCTGCACTGATAGAAGCCTCGTCCATTGGCGCTGGGTATGTCGGAAATCTTGGGGAGCCCTGAAGCGCGAGAGCGGCCAGCCCCATTGTTGTAGCGCAAAGCCATGGGATTGCGAACCAAGAAAGGCCCCCAATGATATACCCGGGAAGAGCATGGACCTACAAGTGGTGACGGAAAAGAATTAGCGTTGCCTCAGACAAATTGAAGCTGAAGCAAAGATTTTGGGCAGCGTGCAAGACATCTCTGTGGCACGCTGATTGCTCTTTGCTCAGGGTTCACCTACCGGTGATGCCGCGATGGCCTTGTTGTAATACCCGTTGTCCATGAACACGGTCCCAAAGTTGCCAATGATGTTAATGACGAAGAWGATGGCACCCTCCTTGCTTCTCATGGTGAGATAGCTTCCTCCGGCATTCCCCTCGACCGGTTTGACGACAGCAAGTTCTTGCAAGCGCTCATATACAATTTTCGTAGATCCCAGAGCCTCTCCACCGGCATACGTCGTAAATGCAAATATCAGAAGGATGATGAGCAGAATGACAGTGTGAACATAATCTGTCAGGAAGGTAGCCTTGATGCCTCCAAACATGGTATAAACCATAACACCCAATGGTAGGAGGAAGCAAGCCGCAGCCGTAGGGACTCCAGTCAGAGAAGTCACCACGGCGGATCCACCAGTGAGAAGCATGGCGGAGACCAAGGTGTTGGTGAAAAGTCCGAAGGTGATGTACACAAAATGAGTTACCGCACCGTAGCGAGCACGAACGACTTCCAGGAATGTCTGAGTCCATGTCAGCTCAAGGTTTGCTTCACGCAACTGAGATGGTTCTTACATGGGCATTTGGCGCCCGTCTCTTGAGCTCAATCGCAACGGTTGCGAAGAGCAAAATCTGAACAGTGGCACCTGCCGCATACCAAAACGGTCCTGACACGCCTGCAGTCGTTAGCTTTCAAAGGTAGAACATATGCTAGACAAGAAAGATACCGTATCGGAAAGCCACCGAGGTGCTCTGCAGAAGCGTCGCGGCCCATGTCCATGAAGAAACCACAGCGCTAGCCACAAGACCGGACTTCACAGTGCGACCAGCAGTGGAGAAAATCTCAGAGGTCTGGTGCTCATTGTTGTACCTCTTCAACGCCCATGTCGTAAATACCTTCACCTACGTCAGTTGCTGTAGAGAAGGAGGTCTGAGAGAAATATGACAAACCATTCCCAGCGCGAACAAAGCCCCAAGCCCGAGTATGATTCCATATCCCCAAGCTTGGCCCAGGGACGAGGCTGAAACTCCTGTTGGTGCGGGACCGCCTGCCATTTCGATTGATATCGATTCTTGTCGATTGAAAGTAGCTCCATCATCGGAGGGGAGTCACTCTTATTATTATGCACCCCAGCTCTGGGGAGCTGCCTATCCTGGTTCATCGGTGCTAGATATGGCTTAGCTTGCAAAGATTGTGTGCTTGGCGGAAGAACGAGAGCCTTGCTCTATGCGCATGGACTGCAGCCAAAGACTGTGAGCAACCGCATGTTGAAAACACCTCTCGTCGTATCTTGACATCTAAGCGACCAGCTMTCGCCTGAAAAGATGCTACACCATGTCCCGTTATAGCGAAAGTTCTCAATGCGCAAGACAGTAGCCGATACTCTGCCAATCGAAACGCCGTGATCGGGCCCCCATGAGCCGGTCCTGGAAGTTCTTGACACACAACGATAACCGTGGCGTTAAAGAGGCCGCGGCGACTACGGATAAAAAGTCGGCGGGCGAGATAAGAGCTGATAAGATGACGGATCCTAAGAAGAATGAGGTGATGACAGTAGCGCATTTAAAACGACGGGCCGGCCGATCGTCGGGAGAATCATAGAGAGTCTTGGCAGTGCTGTCGGCGGGCGCTAGCAAAGCATCGCTAAGGACGTCAAACCTGACAACGTGCAATGTTCAACACTTATATAGATCACGACGGCGACGAATCGCTGTGGTACTGCCGCCAATCCCCGTCACTAGATAGATGGTCTCCACCATGGCCGACACGAATCAACGAGACACCATTCGACCCCAAACCATTTTCATTGACATTTGCCGAATGGCGGACGTTCCAAGCCGATTCACCAAGACGGACGCACGTGCTGGCGATTGCCGATGCACCACGTGGAGATACCTAGTATCCACCCCGGACAAGATTCGCGAGCAATGGAAGACGATTTGCACGTTCAGATCGGGGATCCTCTGCCCCTATTTGGGGTTCCGTATGCTGTCGAGGAGAACATAGATGCTGCGGGATCTGATACCACTACAGCTTGCCCGATACACTCTCAACATCATGTCCATGCCGGTACAATTGTAGTCGCGCGAATCACAGCATGCGGTGCAGTCGTGGTGGGGCAGACGAATCTTGGCCAGTTCGCTACCGGGTTGGTGGGTACGCGCTCGCCATGTCAGTTCATCAGAAACTCTCTCGATTCTGGCCTTCACCCTGGAGGACGCCGGATTCAACTTCCAGCTCGCCTGGAGGGAGACAGTACAGAAGCCTACTCTCGGCAATGTCCTTAATGGACGACACCCTCACCATGTGTTGGTCTTGCATTGAGCAAGCGAACAATCGGAACTCCAACGAATCCGCAGTGGTTGGAGAATGAAACCATGGCGAAGGCATACTATCAAGCCCTGTTCAAAGCTCAGAACCTTAGCTGGTCAGCGAAAAAGGTCGATTGTTGATTGTTGGACCATTTGATAGATCTACTCTACGATGTACCGTGGGTTGCCGAGTGTTACGCTACAATCACATCCCCTCCCCGACCAGGAACTTGGAAGTTATGACTTCATAAACTATTCTGCTGGCAGTAAACTATATTTGACGCCTGCTTGGGCCATTGCACCAAGACGCAGCGTCTCCTGACGACTATCGGATGCCACGAGAAGAGTAGCAACGAAGCGAAGTTTACCCTGCCGTGGATCAGGAACCTTATCCCCTCGATGAAGCATCAAATAGTATTCCATAACGGCAGTTTTGAGCTCCGGTTCACCATCCATGAGTTCCTGCACAACGTCATCGGAATTGAAAGTCCCGCCCGCAAGAGCCGGTATGAAGACAATTTCAGCGCATGCATGCTGTGTCCCGCCAACGAAAGAATGACACAGCTGTTCCGCACGCTGTGTGGCGCCTACCGCAAGTAGTAGCTGTATGACGTGATAGTCGATTCCATAGATGTGAGTGACAGCAGTAACGGCTTGGATGCCTGGAGCCCGAGCGTTGACTTCCAATAGGAAGATCCCAGGGGAAGAGCCAGTGGCAAGATCAGCCTCTTTTCGTTGGAGATCGAGAACTCCATTCTGTCCGACTGCKAATTCTTTCGCGGAGTTCATCATGCGGGCTTCGACATGGAATACTCCTGTCGAGAAACCCAGATCCAGCAGCGCTTGATGCAAATACTGCTTTGCCAAATCCTGTTCGGACTGGTCTAGAGCAGAAGGGTATATCATCCCTGTCTCAAGGAAAGAGTCGTGTTCTCCCGCGCCGGCTATATCTCCCGCACACGGCAGATTGTCTGAAAACTCGCAGAAGATGATTTTCTTGTCCAGAAGCACAAAGTTGACGTCGAATTCAGGGCCGTCGATGTACGGCTCTACAGCCAGATCTTTCCCATGTTGGAGGACCAAAGAGTGAATTGTCGATTCCAGCATGTGCTCGGCATTCACTCGCGTGACGCCCTGTGAGCCACCCCCTACTACTGGTTTGACAACAAGAGGGTATGATAGTGGGTGTTGTGATTTCTGCACCTGCTCCATGAGATCCTCAAAGCTGGTACAGCCGAACGCTTTGGGCTGGTCTTTCATAGATTCGCGGCATGTATGTTTGTTCACCACCTTGGCAAGCGAAGTTGATGGTGATGTCTCTAGGTTCAACATCTCAGCAGCCGTGCCAGTAGCCACAAGATACGAGTCGGAGAAGGATATGATGCCATCGAATTTCAGTCCGGTTTCTTTCATCGCTTCGACAATTCGCTTTGGTAAGTCGTCATCCAGGGTCATGTCCATGGGTAGGAAGGCTTCCCGGAGAAGGGAGTGATCCGGACTTGCTAGCCAGTGACCTGGTTTATCGAGGATGACCAAGTTGATGCCAAGCTGTAAAGCACGATCGAGCATGTTCTGCCGGAACGCGAGGTTGAAGCCTCCTTCTACGACTGCAATTCGAGTTCTTTCCAATGGTGCTGGGCTTAACCAGGGCAAGGAAAAGCGTCGAATCAATTCTTTGTCTAACGACAGCCACTGCTTGTCTAGATCCTGTTTACTAGAGCTTTCGATCATCAGGCCCGCGACAGCTTCTGCGAATATTGAAGGTATKTCATCCTCCTTACCCGGCGGCTGACTTGGTGACAGTGATTGCAGAGACTTGAGTGCACTGAAGAGATCGATGACCTGTGGACAGTCCACCATGCGCGACTGAAATACTCCGGCCCATGACACGTAGCCTGTAGTGCAAGGGAAGAAGAGCCTGGCTGCAACATAGGCCTTTTGGCTGCTCGCGGCATGTTGTCGAAAACGGCGATAGAACGAGAGTCCAGCGCTCTCTTCGGCTTTTTCCAGGTGARTTCCATTTAGTTTCGTGGTCTTGGAGCACGCTTTGAGGGGTTGATCATTGTTGAAGATGATATCGATGCTGTGTAGCTTGGTTATGACACTGGTCTTGTCGTCGCTACTGACGGTCAAGGAGAATGGCGTCGTTGCTATATCTGGTCAGCAATCACATAGTAATACCGCTGCAATTTCATGTCCTTACCACCGTTAAGGTCTGGAAGGTCATCACCATCAGCGAGAGTGATCTTAGCAGGCATGTTGTAGAGAAATGTCAGATGCAATACAGCTGAGGTCTGCTATTTCCACTTTACAGTCTTAGCAATCGCCACTGCCCTTAAGCAGAGCATCGGAGATCTTCGTATTGCGCAAGTGGTAGTGCAGGACCTCAATAACGCCATGTGGAAGCCTCCTATACTCCAAGGCCTCCCGCACGCTGAGGCCACCACATGATGCAGCCGCCATAGTACGCACGCYGACAGTATCTCTGGGCTGTCTGACACAGCTCTTCTCTCAACGTATAATCTTCCTCCTGTGGCTTTTGGCGCAACTTGATGCTCGCTGTTGTTATTCCAAGTCAAGCATGATGTCAGCAAGTTCAAGGTCAACTTCAGCTTGGCGAACCAAGGCACTAATATCCGGTAAAGTACCTAACCTTGTGCAGCTAATCCCACAAGAATATGGCTGACTAAACACGATAGCTCTGATGCTCTGCAATTTTGTAAGTCCCCATCAATCAAATACAATGACAATAATGAGTTCTTGGCTAACAATGTCCGGCCTGATGCCTTTCAGCTCATCTCTTTGCAATCAAGTTCTTCCGCCGCCACGTATTTCACCATCGCCGCGGAGTTTGGCCGGGCCAATGAGGCGACATGGCCTGTAAACGGAACCTTGATCGCGTCGCTCATGGCCCAGCCGCTGTTCGCTCGCATGTCCGATCACCTGGGGCGTAGGGCGCCATATGTAACGGCTGTCGTTATCTTCGCCATAACCAATGCTCTGAGTGCTTTGGGCAGTGGCTGGCCGTGGTATCTTACTATTCGAACCCTTTGTGGTGTGGGAAGTGGAGGCATGCTTGGTCTGGGTAGGAACTTCTTTTCGACATGTGAATTGGAGCTCTCATTGAACAATTTCCAGGTTCCATTACCCTTACGGATGCTGTAGGCTTGGACCAGCGGCCTTTTTATCAGTCCATCAATTATTTGGTGTATGGGGCGGGCTCAGGGTACTATGTCAGCATCTACTTAAATTATATCAGCTGATGTTTTATAGATTAGGGGCCGCTTTCGGTGGCACTATAGTCCAGCACTTTGGCTGGCCATGGCTCTACGTTGTATGTATCCGAAAGTAGTCTACACGTAGCAGGCTTCACTAACTAAGAACAGGTGCAATTCATAATCGCCATCCCGGGTGCGATTTTGCTTATACTATATGCACCTGGTGCCGATGAATTGTCCGAGAAACATTCGATTGACAAAATTCTTGGAGGTTTTGTGCAGTCCATGCAGAAATTTGACTGGAAAGGCGCCCTGTACTTGGTGAGTTGCGTATCAAGCTACGTAGATTCCTCTAACCATTGTTGTCGCAGTGCGTGTCTCTTTTGGCTCTGTTCATCTTTCTCTCCCTGGGTGGGAATACATTCCCCTGGACACACCCGACTGTCATCTCCACAGGGGTCACCTTTGCGATTGCCGGTTTCATTCTCTGGAGACATGAGATGGCGGTTGAGATGCCGGTCCTGCATGTGCAGCTCATCTGCAAATCACCCATCTGGAACTTTCTACTGGCCGGGTTTCTCCTGAACATGATAAATCACACAGTAAGCATTGTCTAAACCGTCTCTCGGATGCCTTGTAACTGATCTGGTCAAAGGCGATGTATTATGCGCCAGTATTTTTCCAGACGGTCCTTCTGGATACGCCGGAACGAGCGAGTGCCCGACTGGTATTCCCATCTCTATGCTTCACTTTTGTGAGCGCTCTAACATCCTACATCATATCACGCACAGGTTCGCCAGCGTTCACGCTATACGGCAGCCAGCCATTTCTATTACTCGGAAGCGCAGGCCTAGTCGTCATGGCCGCAACGGCGCTGACTTATCCACTGAACAACATTGCGTACACCCTTTCGCTGGGAATTCCGGTCATTGGGGCCAGTATGCTGGCTCCTAGCGCTCTGTTGACCCTCTTACACCTTTGCGACCCCGAGGATCACGCAAGTGCGAACAGTAGTTATATTCTTGCCAGGACTTTGGGAATTTTTGGCGCCACTGCGCTGGGCTCTACCGTGCTGCAAAACACTTTCGAATATGCTATCCATAAAAGAGAGTTGTCTACAGAGACCCTCCAGGTATGTAACCTTAAAAGCTCTTAAACTCTACTGACCGGCCATAGGCTATCCAAAACGTCCGAAAAGACATCTCACTTCTTGAAGGAATGCCACAGGACCTACAAACAATCGGTAATCTAGCTCATGCTCTCTCTATTGACAATCGTTTGTTGACAAAATAACAGTACGGGAACTGTTCGCCGTTGCTTTGCTTGCCGTTTTCATTCTGGGATTCTGTTCCGCCCTGATGATCTCCTTTAGTCTGGCGAAAGTGTACCTAAGAACGAGAAGGATGCTAGCACGAGGCACAGCAATTCCTTCCGAGCCTCCTTCCGAACACGGTCTCGACGATTTCTCTGATGGACCCGATACTGAGATGTCTCAACTAGGGACAATGGCGACTAGTCCGCATTGAAGATGCGTGTCTATCACAAGTTGAAGAACATTAATAGGGCGTTATACCTTAGCTTAGTGAAAGGAATTGGCATGAATGTTTATTAGAGATAAGACTACGTCGCCCGCTTATTTACTGAGCTCCCTGCTCTGCTCGTGCGACGACAAGGTCGCTTGAACAAGTTATTGCGAGCACTTTGATGAATAGTCTTGAAATGGTGCTGCATATTATCTGCACATTCTGTAAATCAGCGATGAAACATTTTCCAATGAGACTGCATCAGAAGTAGCACGCAAGATTGTCAACAAACATACCTGCACGACTAAAAGTCCGATCACATTCCATCACCGGGCACCGGAACTCAGGCTTGTGCGTAGCAGAATGCCTCACAAGATCCTTCTCACTCGTGAATCCAATCGCTGCCCACTTACAGCCATCTYCAGAGCAAAAGTATCTCCGCACATGGCTATTGTAATGCTTACGCAAATCACAAGCACGCTCATAAACTTTTTTCGACTTGCAGCCTTCGAATTTGCACCGCCAGTCGCCGTATTTGTCCACGTATCCGATCTCGAAGACGTCGTCTGGTTTCCATCCTTCTCTGGCTTCGTGCTCGGAGGCTTGGTCTTCGTTGGATGAAGATGTGAGACTTTCGGCGAGGGAAGCTTCTTCGAATGTATGTAAGTCTTCTTCTTGCCAAGGAAGACATTCCAGGCCCGTATCACCGTCGAATCCATTGAGCGACCAGACCATTGGCGATGCCAGGCTTACTGAGGCGGTGGCTCCAGATACTTCGCAATTCGCTGGTGGGAGACCAATAGTGGTGTTGAGCTTGATCGAGGATTGGGAAGATCTGCCACGATACTTTCCGGTCGTTCGCGGCACGGTACAAGAGCTCGAGATATCGTTCATTGGGCCTATTATTTCCTCGCGTTAGCCTACGTACGATGTTGGGAATTTTTCAAAATCCATTGCATGTAAAGATGATCTGATCATGGGGATATACTAACTACCCTGCAAGATGGAAGCCAGCTCTTGGGCGACAGGCATATCGTATTGGGCAAGCGACCAACCCAGGTCATGGAAATCCGCTTCAGCAGCAATATCTCCGAAACTGAAGCATTGGTCAGTTTCGAGGGAGGAGAATGAGGTCATGATGTGAAAGTACGGCCTGACATTGTACAGTCTGTTTGTGAGCGAGAGCACGCGACATATATGATCTGCTGCCCTAGCCAGAAGAAACGCAGAAGGAATGCAGAAGGAATGCAGCAAAGACATGCAAAGTGAATCAGGTTGTCATCATCATTCACCGGTTGGCTAATTGTTCAGATCTCCGATTAAATCTGTTCTTTGGGTGTGAAGGATTTTGGGAATCTGGAACGAGGCTTGTAGGAAATTGATGAGATAGGAAGGTGCATCGCAGCTCATCTCAGCCCCAAGGCGCCACGCTGTAAGCTTTGTCAAGCCCTCTGAGGGGCGAAGCTTGGTAGATTAAGCTATGGTAAGCCTGTCACGCGGCCCTATTCCTGCTCTGTATACTTCTATAGTCTGCCCTATTTCTTGCTCGCATGGCTAGTCTCCAGCCACTGTGTTGGACCATTTTAGCTCACCGAGGTTCCTCGACGGGGAAAGGGCCACGAATCTGGGTGTAGACTCTCGATCGAAGACAACTAGCTAGATACTACCGTATCTGCTCTCGATTGTACTACCGGTGCCACGTTTCACCAGAATAAGACCTGTCCGAATGCCCCCATGTCTTAAGGTAGGTTAGGTATGTATGTTGTTGCAACGCTTATTAAGAGGCTTCAATCCTAAACTCAAATTTAGTGGCACGCTAGGCGATTTTTAGAATCTTGTTCATCAGGCTGGTCCGTGCTCACAGCTAGTGCAGCGGGGGCGGGCGGGATCGGCAGCTCATCGATCCCTTACTTTGCTGGTGGCCGCACTGCAAGCGCAGCGACAATGGTAGCCTCTCAACGGATGTCGACGAGAGCTCATACTAAAAGGCGACGACTACCAAAACCATAATCACAACCTCAACTACATACATTACGGCCACCAACATGCGGGCAAGCCCAATCATTCACCTAAACGGTTTCCCGGGCACTGGGAAGTTGACCATCGCTCGCGAGTTGATAGATCTGCTTAACAGTCGCCTGGGCACACTTGGCGGCGAAGGAGAGCAGGCTTTGGATGCTTCGAAACTGGTCCACAACCATCTCCTCATTGATCCTGCCGACGCCATACTACATCGGACTCAGCCAGGCTACCAATCCTTGCGCAAGGCACTCCGAGAAGTGATCTTCACAGCCCTGGTCGACGAAAAAGCAACCCACGGAACTACATATGTCTTTACAGATTGGCAGTCTGGAGATAGCACTGGTACCCAGGTCTGCAAGGAATTCATCACCATGTCGAAAAATCGCGGCTGCGAATACATTCCAGTCATCATCACCTGCGACGAAGACGAGAATTGTCGAAGACTGATAGATGGTCAGCGGGAGCAATGGAGTAAGGTTAGAAATGTGGATTTACTCCTTCAATGGAGGCAGAGAAAAGATCCGCCTCCGGTGTATGAGTTTCGTGATCTTGAAAGACGGTTAGAAGTGGACGTCACCAAACTTAGCGCTAAGCAGGCGGCAGAGGCCATTTTCAAGCATGTTTCGCCCTACCTATCATAGAGGTAAACATTTTGCTGTCAGCTAGACTTGGCGGAGGGTATGGATAGTCTCCACAGAATACATTCTTACCAAAACCGCCACTGCTCGTGTTGCGACCCATCGCTCACAAGATCCAAAGAGAGCAGTGCAGAGGTGAACAAAAGTGTCCACGGATTCTGGTCCGATATCTCCTTGATCGCTTTTCCTCTCAAAAAGAAAATCTACATATCGAATCGCAATGCAACAAGAACCATACCTGAGACCCGCGTCCAATCATCACGAAGAGTTCTAGCAACCTCGCCAAAAACCTGAGATGTGCGAAGAGACGTTGATCTTGAGTTATATCCCACGAGCCGCATCGGCAGCTAGACCACGTGGGCGAGAATACTCGATTGCGTCTTTGATGCATACACGCTAGGCTATTTCAACAATTTCCGGCCGTTCCAAGCAGGAGGCCGTTCGCTTCTAGGGCACACACGGCCAGCAATCATAGCATCTAGGGCTGAAATCGTCTGCATATGTGTCATGCTCATGACCATCAGAGCATTGTCATTCCGAACAGTTTCATACCACCACTTCTTAGAGAACTTCTGTATCGAATCTTTGCATAGCTCCGCCTTCAGCCATGGATACAGCAAGCGTTCAGGAGGCACCAATATCCATCATCTTACACGCAGGCGCAGGCGAGTCGTATAGAGAAGGAGCGGAGTCTATTCCCGACTTTCTGCGTACATTGGCTGCTGATGCCAGTGAAAGGCTCTCAGCTGGGACATCCGCACTGGATGTTGTTGTACACGTCACTGCTGCCCTGGAAGATCATCCACAATTCAATGCCGGGAAAGGCGCATCATTGAACATTGAAGGCGAACATGAGGTAATGAAAAACACTCTCACACGGGGTCTTTATTTCTGAGCTGACATAGAGATACAAGCTTGAAGCGGCTGTTATTGATGGAGCCACTGGGGAATATCGCGGTGTACTCGGTGTACGTCGCACGAGAAACCCTGTTCGACTCGCTCATGCGCTTCTGAAAAATGAGAAAATCGTTATGGTATCAGGGGCTGGAACCGATGACCTTGCTGCATCTCATGGCCTTGAAATGGTTGACAACTCGTACTTTACAGTGCCAGATAAACGCACATATTGGGCAAACAACGTTCATAGACATGGCTCCATTAAAATCGAGCGGCATGGAACCGTGGGCGCAGTGGCGATGGATAAGAAGGGTAATCTTGCAGCTGCGAACTCTACTGGTGGTACCATGTTTAAGATTGTCGGTCGTATTGGTGACACCGCAATCAGTGGAGCTGGGATTTACGCAGATTCTGACATCGCTATAGTGTGGTTTGTAGACAGGAGTACCTTGGCTAAACAATATGAACTAACAAGTCTCACAGCAGCGGAAGCGGAGAGGCAATCTTGAAATCCCGGGTTGCGAGTCGTATCGCAGATGGGTTTCACCACGGTGTCGATCTACAAACAGCGATGAAGTCGGCATTGATGGCTTCAGCAGATCACGATATAAATTCGTCATGCGGAGTCATTGCTCTGACTAGAGGCGGGAATATGATCAGTCTTTGCAACGCACGAACCTTCGCAGTTGCCAAAGCTCAGTCGACAAGCTATGCGGAAGCTTGTATTATGCAAAACTCATTCACGCACTTGAGACAGTTGACGTTCCTGGAAGACGCAGAATGTACTGTTGGGTATGCGAAGTATCCAACTATGGATGGACAAGCTATTCTAAAGCTCCACGGTGGTCGACAACTTACAGGTCTGGATCGGGATATCTTCAAAAGTGTCTGGAATACGCTCGAGCGATCCGTCGATGCTTTGATGGAGTTTCATGGGAAGACATGTTGCAGCTGTACTACATCCCAAGAAGGAATCCAGATATTCCCTCACTCATCATTGAGTCTATTGGAAAAGAAGACTCCTCAGCATATCCTCTTCCTCGACCACGGCGAATCTCGTTCGGATCAGGCTTGGCAGTACATACTGTCCGAAACGCAAAAAATTGCATGTGATGCCCAGCTTCCTGTCGGGACATTGCAGATTCAGATCGATTTTCTGGGAATGGAACGCGTACACTTGGGTGTGTCTATACAGGAGAAGACACCATCACTATTTCCGAAATGTGCAGAATACCAATCTAGCTACTTGGGATGTCCTTCGACGGAAGCGGGACCTAGGGCTATTAATCTGCCTGCTTTGAAAGAAGGCGCGAAAATGCTGGCCGAAATTCTGGGGAGTAGTTGATTGTTTCGATGGAGCCTATGAGGTTACTCTTTGATAGACAATGCACGATCGTACGGGCGAGAACAGTCACGAATGATTTTTCTCCTGTTAATGGTTCAATCCTAGGAAGAGGAGGACGGGGACCTGTTCGCAAAATTTTATCGTGATTTTCCCCCTGTATAGGACTTTCCTAGCATTGGTGCCCAATCTGGTCAAGATATGCTTGACCACAGTATAACAACAGATACTGACCTAGTCAGATTGTCACAAGCCGAGATAGCGAGGAATTATCATTTCTCGCCGGAAGCTGATGTTAGACTCAGTCCATTGGGACAAATTCGACGGAGCTTTGATATTTGGTGAGCGAGGAAAGCGGTTACAATGCCTTGCAGATCCTTGTCTACTAGCTGGTGATGCTCAGTATTAATGCACTTACAAGGGAAAGTATGGGACGCGTGAAACGAGTTTCGAGTGCCACACCGGAATCCTTAAAGGGATGATGCAAACCATCTCTGACATAGGTAAAACCTGCCCATGAGGTATTTGGCCCATCCAATATTGCGATAGGCCCACTCATGCTGACTGAGGAGAAGGATTCCTCCTAAAAATTCCTAGTACTGAGCGCTTTCTGGCTCATCCAAGTAGGTAAAGTACGGCAGATTGAAGAATCACTACTAACTCCACGCGATTGCATCTCACGAGAAAATGATCTCCAAATATGGAACGAGCATGGCATTGATGAGACTACGGAATACGATGCCCTGTTGCTATCGCATCACATCAAGTGATCCTCTAGACTTCAGGACATCCCACGGCGCTTCCAACCAATCAAGGGGCAATTTCCAAGCCCTTGAGACGAGGAAGCAATTGCACATCTCGAACATCATCGTGCTGCAAAACCCACGCCAGGACCCGTTCAAGACCCATTCCCCACCCCGAGGTCTTCAAAGGCTTGACATCCCGCATATCGACGTACCATTCGTACTCTTGCGGATCAACCTCATGTTGCCTCAGCGCCTGCAGCGTATCTCCCACAACTTCATGACGTTCACCGCAGCCCAACACTTCTCCTAATCCCAGAAGAAAATCTCCAGTCTTGGCCTTCACCCCAGCGCCACGATTCTCTTTGCGAGTGTATGCTTGATAGAATGGCGTGCTAAGGTGATCGGGCTCCGTCAACCATACAGCCCCTCCGAATCGAGCCATGAGCATTCTCTCCCCAGCACGTGTGATTTTCTTTCCGAAACGATCCTGGCCAGGAATGACATACTCCCACATATCCTCAGTAAGTTCTGGAAGCGCAAGAGCCTCTTCCACTGTCACAATCGGGAATGCATTGCCGTGCTTTTCATAGAGATCCAGCAGAGACTGGAGATGTGCCGTGGAACCCGCACAAGCCTCGATTTCACGGCTGTGGTGGGTTAAGAATGCTCGCGCGATGTGAACCACATATTTATTGGCGATGGTTATCGCATCGTCCAATCCGCCTAGGAGCTCGCATTCCACATGGCAGAATTGATTCAAGTGCGTCGAATCGTGGTCTTCGCCGCGGCAGGAGGTTCCGACATAGTAAACTCCTGGCAAACCATCCTCGAAACGCAGTGCGTATTCCAGTAAGAATTGCTGGGAATCGGCCAGGTAGGTTTGGCTGTCGTTCAATGAGATCGATACTGGCTGGGAGTCGGAACCGAAACCCATTGGGGAAGATATGCTTCCCGTAGTCAGAGGCACGATCAGGTATCTGTAGCCCACAGTGGGGTCTCGAAAGAAGTCGTTAGAAGACCCGAGGAAGGTATCCTGCAAGCGGAACAGGGTCGTGTGCCAGGGGGAGTTCATGGCACGAATTGCGTAGCCCTTTGTGTCCCTCCACAAGTCCCGATCACTGGTAGGTCCTTTGTCAAATGTGACAACTTTCTTTGCGTCCATGCTTTTCACTAGATTTTGAGAAGTCTCCGGCTCAAGGTCCGAGGCGGAGGTGTTGCTGTCACCATTGCTACCATCGTCGCTGCTGGAGCTTGTCGAGTTGCTACCAGATATGTGTTCAACGATGGAAGCTGAAGATGTCTTCGCGTCATACGATGCTAGATCGTTCTGGAGGTTCCCGTTCATCATGGTGGTCATGTCGTCGAATTTTTCGAATTTGTCTCGATTAGGAAGTCTGCGGTGTGGATCAGAAGAGGTGTGAGAGGGTGATGATTTCTACACATCAAGGCAATGCCATTGACTATAAAAGCAGTCATATCGTAGCTTTTCTTGAGTGTATGCTACTGGAAACACAGCAACGCAAGGCCGTCCGTACCTTTAGAGGAAATTCCGATGTTAGTGGCGGCCTCACCATGTGTCTGGCTTTCACTTGCAACTAGGTCGCCGCTAGTGCTTCGCGGCCAAGCCCAATGCTTGGCTCGAAGTGACGAATCTGATTGCTGCTTAGTAGGGACTTAGTAACAAGGTGTTATGGTGAGCTTTGATTCGTGGTTGGGGTTTTGTGGTGAGAGCTACGCTTGCTATCGTTGACTTGAGAGCACCGTCGATCAAATCGTGTTGCGAATCGACCGCGACGACAATGCCGATCGATATCAAGACTAATACTTGATCACAGCGTAAAGATCAATCGATTTGCATATGTCGTCTCTAGTTYATGATTCTAGCATTCTAAATGCTGCACCATCAAGAGGATTCACGCATTTTCGCGCTAGACTCTTGCATGGGTTGGTAAATATCCAGCAACTAGATGCTTCGGTGCTACCATACACCTTTGTTCCGGCCAATGCTGATTTATTTGCACTTCCGAAACCCATCCTTGCGCTGTAGTCGTCCATGCCCAGTGCTGAGATCCGAATCACCGACATGTCAAGCCAAGCCACGAAGTCCAAACTGCCCTGCAGTAATTCAAAATTGCACTCGGAAGCAGATGATCAAATCTGTATAACAGCACACCAACTTCCCAGAAGATTACTCGAAGCCATTCGCACAGTCGCTAAATACCTATCCCTCACATACCAAGTCAATCTTTCCTTCTTCATAACACCAGCTAGCAACTTCATCACTCTAATATATGTTAACTACTAAAGTCATTCATCAATACAAACCTCAGCGATCCCCCCTCTATTACTACGACTGTATAGACGATTTCTTCAATTCATCCGACAGAGCTCCCCAAACTTCGAATCAGACATAGCAATCAAATCCCCAGGCCGCCCAAATTCAAGCAATTCTCCCTGACTAAAAAGCGCCACTTTATCATATTTCTGCACATGTTCCATCCGATGCAGAATGGAAATGACAGTAGTATGTTTGAATTCGCTATCGATAATCTCCTGCATGGCATTCTCCGTCTCGCGGTCAACGCTACGAAATGTTAATCGTATGGAACCAAGAAGCAATGTGTGGAAGAAATAAAGACTTACCTGCTTGTAGCCTCGTCCAGAATCAAGATTCTCCCCTTTTTTATCATAGCTCTAGCGAGACAGAAAAGTTGTTTTTGGCCTGTAGACCATGCTGAGGGATTCATGACCTTAGACAGACCTCCTTCTTCTTGAGCCTTGTCCCACAATCCCACCCGAGTCAAGGCTCGAATGATATCGTCGTCACTTGCCGTGTCGAACGGATCGGCATTGAATCGAACAGTGCCTGGCATCAGAAACGGATCTTGGGGCACAATATTCAATGACTTGCGAAGACTTTCTCCATTCATAGAGGCGAGATCGATTCCATCAATCTTGATGAAACCTTTCTGCACTACCATCATTTGGAGAATAGAGAGAATGACCGACGTCTTGCCGCTGCCTGAGCGTCCACAGATTGCAATGTGCTCTGTTGGTTCGATGGTCAAGGACAGGTCGTTGATAGCAGCACTACCATTTGGACTGCATTTCAGTTAGCATATGATGTAGCAGTGGGAACGGAGAATCAAAGTACCTGTAGCATGCTCGTAGACCCTGAAACTGTACCGATCCATTCCGGATCCAATCTGGATCGGCAGTGTCGAGATCTTGCTCTGTATCAGAGGCTGTGTCCGCGGTATACTGTCTGATCCTAGCAATGGCACCGATGCTAGACTCCATGGCAGTCCAGCTCCTGATAACACGCATGAGAGTAGTACTAAATCCCATGATCATGACCAAACTGACTCCAACAGTTCCTCTGTCAAATTTTTGGGGCCAGATGACTATGATAGTAACAACTAGAACTGCCAGGATTGCCACAATCGYATCCAAGACGAACGCGAGCCAGTGTTGCACGCAACTCTGGATATACTCAGGACGTTGAAAATTATCGACCAAGGCGTAAAAGCGTTGTTGATAGCCCTCTTTCCAGCCGAATGCCCTGATGGTCGTCGCGCCGGCAACCGAGTCTGTGAAGTAGCTGTATAGCGGCGCCTTGGCTTCGATTCCAAGTAGCCGTACTTGTCGGGACGTCAATAGGTAGAATTTCTGGAGAAAGTAGATGAGAGTCCCAAGGATGGGAACTGCGGCTCCGAGATAGCGAGAGAAGACCAGGAGGATGATAAGCTTTACCAGACATTGTAGTACGCCTATACTTTCGGTCAGGATGATTTCACGTTCAGCGTTTCTCGAAACTCACACGTGATGTAGCTTGAGACCATTGCGGGAAGGCTCATGTCTACAAGCTCCATGTCCTGGCTGAATCTAAGGCAGAATGAGAAACGTAGCTTTTGAAACTCTTATCAACTAACCTGTTCATTAATTCGCCAATATCTGTCGTGGAGAAGAACCAAAACGGAGCCCTTCTTACGGTTAGCACTCGAGCGGTAACAACTGTGCGACTCTGCAAAATCCACCTAATAGTAGCTTGCAAGAGGTGACGGTGAAGTTGACCACCCGACTTGGAAACCATGCGAACAAGCAAGAACCTGTGGCCCACAGTGTCAGCCATTGCCCAAAGGGGAATAATCGAGAGAACATTACCATCCACCAATGCAAGCACAAAATGTACCAACGATTCCAAAGGCTGCGTAAAGGCCCATATACATTCCCACTCTGTTATTGGCATGCCTTTCGTTTTCTTCGGACCACCATTTGAGCCAGATAGCTGTCTTGATGTCAGCAAGTRCTAGCGTCAAGAAGAGAGAGAGAGAGAGAGCGGTCTTACTAGAAAATTCAGTCAAGAACATCCATAGAGTTACTGAGACGACATTTCCAAGCAATAAGTACCACCCCGAGTTTGAAAAGTAGTAGGTGTATGTCGCCAGGTCGCTTTTCTTGCGGCTTTGGTCGTCATTTTTAGGTGCCGATTTTCTCGTTGTCGCTGTCGGCGATTCTTCCTCAGAGGACTCAACGACCGTGGCATCACAGAAAATCTCGGATTGCAACTTCTCGCCGTCACTATCGCTGCGGAGTATATCCTGCGGTGTCCCTGTCATAACTATCTCGCCGTCTCGAAGGGTAATGACAGTATCGACAAGTGCTAGAACATTCTCTACGCAAGATTTAGCGTAAGATGGCAAGACCGCATGGTGTACATACTATTGGTGGTGCTGAGGACGACAGTACAATGCTGCTTCCGCAACAGACCTTCTCGACCTAACAGACGATGAGAAACTGTGTTGACGGTACGAGCGTCCATGCCACTGAAAACGTCGTCCAGAAGCACGATGCTTGCTCTCGAGTAGACAGCTCGTGCCAACGCCTATATTTTGTCAAAATCGTTGTCGATCTGAGAAAAGGAGCACTTACAATGCGCTGCTTCTGGCCACCACTAAGACCATTCCTTATACGGGTCAAATCGCCCTCCGTTTGATGTGCAATATCATAATCCAAGTCGCAAGCAGTCTTGACGGTTTGGTACCACTGGTCGTTATATTCCGCTTCGTCCACGACAATGTCTCGAATCGCTCGATCTGCTAGCCAGGGCTTTTGAGAACAGTACGCCACGGATGAGTGCAGGCTGTGTCGCTGGAAGGAACCAGAGGCTGGGATAGTCTCGCCAATTATAGTCTGCAGCAACGTAGACTTGCCACTTCCCACGGGACCCACAATCGCGGAGACGGAGCCAGCAGGAAACTCTATTTTGAGATTCTTAAGGACGTCAGGGCCATCTTCTTTCCATCTGTAGCTGTTGCATGGCAATGAAATGCGTTGCGGTTGGACCTTAGTGTTCAATTCGAGAACTTCGCCAGCGCCCATGCTTTTCAAGACACGGTCATCCGGGACGATATCTGCATTATGCATGTCATGTTCTTGTCCAGAATTTGAAGGATAGTTGCAGTACTCCTCAACTCGGTCGAAGCAACCCACTGCTTGCAGAACCCGGGGCAGAACTTGGGTAAATAGCATGACCGGAGACGTGAGGAGAGATATCAGGGCGACTGCGGTGAAGGCCTGGCTGACCTCCAAGGTTGAGCCTCGCCAGTAGACTGATATGATTACGTATACTGCAAACGTGACAGTCGGTGCAAGATTGAGAGGGGTGTTGGCTGTACTTTGGGTTAGTATGGTCTCATGACACTCGTCAAGATGTTGAGGACTCACAAAGTAGCAGAATGCTGAGTAGAACTTTTCGGTACGCCGTAGACGCTTTGATTTCTTCAACGCGCAGATTCTGGACGATGTTGGACATGACGTCCGTCAATTCAAGCATCTTGATGGTCCTGATATTCTCCAGCATATTCGATGTGGCTTTGAGACGCTCTTGTATCACTTCAATCCATAGACGCTGTCTCGTCTTCGCCTTGCCAGAGATTCTGGATGTCACGCCGACAAATACTATGTATCGCATAGAATCAGCTCTGCCACAATTTTGGAGGTTCACGACATACCGACAACAAGAATCACTGGGGCAAGGCATGCCAACGAGAGAGTTCTTTGGAGTAACCAGGTAGCAATGGCCACATCGATCAACGAAGCCCATATCTCATGTAGCATCTGTAAACCAGCTACAATCTGTGGCACATCCGCACCCAGAATGGCAATCGCAGTGACTTTGCCCTGTTCACTTGCTCGGATGTTGAGAGATTGCTGGTACACTAGAGCAGTTAAACCCGCTCGCACTCGAGTGACGAAGCGGAAGCTTTGGTACTGGTAGACTGAGCTTGATACCTGCAGCCACATGAGCAGTCATCGATCACATTCTTGCTTGAATTGGGAAAGTAGCTGCATACTGCGATACCCATAAAAGTAAGTACCCATGCTCCAATTAAGCCCCTGCCAAAGTTTTGACCATGGGGGTCGTCCTTGCCCACATATGCGATGGTCGAGCTGATGAGAAAAGGTTGGGCGAAGGTGAAACCGCTTAGGCAGAGGCGAGGTATTATTGCGGACAGGAATGATGGGAGATAGGCGCTGAAAGTTGAGAAGAGCAGGCTGTGGCGACGTCTTCTATCATCTGTTCGAAATTAGTCTTACTCCAGCACAGGTACCGTATGACCGCTCACTCTTCATCCAGATTGAGAGAAGTTTCCGATGCAAACCTTGACTCTGTAGCTTTCTATCCAGAACCGGAAGATCGTCTACAGACAGAACTTGGGCGTACCCCAATCTGAAGGTAGTGGCCAACCAGGCGAAGATAGTTCTTGCCCAAAGTCCACTGTACTGCTCAGAGATCTTTCGATCGGCATTCTTGTGCAGCCGTGTGGTGGCAATAGTTTCTGCTAGCAATGTCACAAACGCCAAAACAATGGACGTGATGAACACTGCCGCCGGGCAGTTTTTAGGCTGAATGCTCCACAGTGTACGAGCTCTGGCTATTCCCAGTATTACGTAGACCGTAAGATACAACGAGACCACGGATGATGAGCGAAGGGAGCGCCAATTGTGGATGGGGAGAATCACAGCTAGCATTGCCGTCGCCACGAGACTGAGGACATGACCGGGGAGGGAGGCTTTAGTTCGTGTGAGTTTCGTCTGGGAACGGATAGCAACGACCCCTATCTGGGCGCCAAACAGACACGCGAAGAGAATCTGTTGTATCTGTCAGCTTTCCTTCCACACGAATGTTCGCAGTGCTACATGACCAACCATCTTGCATCCAAGTAGCCTGTTGTGGGATACGCGTATACGTTGTCGCCGCAGAATAGTGATTAGGTATGCGGGGAAAATGCATATCAGAACAGCGGCTGGAACGCACGCAAAAACGACGTCCTCGAACGTGAGGGTAAAGTCGAATGGCCGACACGCAGAACTGACGCGAGGCCCGAAGGCTCGATCGCTGCCAGGCGGACACCCCATCTCAGACAGAAAATGCTAGATGGTGCGAACAGAACAGCAAGGAGATCCATATAGGTATGCGGCGGTGATAATGCAAGCGCTTGTTTACTCTGCGCCCGTACCACCTTCCCTTTCTGGCCAATTAGGTTCCGCGCCTATTCTGCAAGGATGAAGGGTCAGGGTTCCGGCGGAAGCTTAATGTTGATTAGCTTATCAAGCTTTTTCGCCGAGAACAGGAGACGCTCTCCACAGTATAAGTGCCAACAGAGTATGCGTGAGGTCATCTCGTTGACTCGCAGAATTCGTGAGTAACACTCCCTCTCTGAGCTAGTATTGACCCACTGTAGCTTTGAGCGTGTGTAGTGTTCTCGTCGAGCGGCAGGTTCACCAAGTCATCGCGCCATGAATGTCATTCTGAGGGATCTTAGACGATCATCTTCTCAACTGAAAGTGGGGGAAATGCCATCGGCGTCCAAGAGCGGAGGGTCTGACGGTTTTTGCAAAAGCCACAAGGTTCAGTAAAACTGCCCGGCCTACTATCAAGCAAACGAAAGTAGCGGTCGAATTGTTGACTGACCTGCTGCTCGTAGCGGGACTCGACGCTTGACACACATTTCTGTATGGTTACCGGGCGGGTAGCTCAACATCCTCTATGGTAGAGCTGAGTGTGAACGAGTTGCTTGATTGAAGTGGCTGAATAACTGACTTGGTGCGAGCAGCGGGCTTATATGATATGCATAGACGCTCACTTTTCTTTCCTTGAAACTGCGTGAATAGGGGGAAAAGTGCCTGCCAAGAAGTGAAGGATTTGCGGCACCACAATTGGAAGGCCTTGCGGAACAGGCCGTTGAAGTTACTGACGCTCTTCTCTGCGTCATATATAGAGATGAAAGCTGCCCACATGATCCCTTCTGCTATGGCTGGAAAGAACACCTGGAGCCGAAGCAAATGCGGGCTTGTAATTTCGCACAGATGCTAGTTCTAATCTGTAGTCTGATAATTTGCTAATGAGCCGAGATCCGTGCGAGACAGTACAGATGACCTCCCCTACATATTTGATTGTTGATGAAATGCTCACAACCTCATCAAACCGGGACATAGCCGTGGTTATTATGCCGATCGATCTAGTAGCACGCCCCTGTTCCTGCAATCTGCCGCCGATCCGACTGCTCTTGCAACTTTCWCTTCGGATCGCTTCCCAAGTCATGTTAATGGTTGGATAGCAAAGCCTTGCGTTACGCTCTGTGAGAAGACGACTGTTCGTGTTGAATAGCGCCGCTTTTTATGTTCCTCGAACATAGGAGACGAGAACGACCGACCCACTTCCATCCAGCGATTCGACCCGGTAATCGGTTCGTTCGATCTCTCAAGCCATTTTTATTCCAAGAAAATAACTTGGCGTTGATCAAGGCTTATTCTCACGTCTTGTGTTGTTGCGGATCATGTCTCCAGATCGTCAGTGGTGTCTTAGAAGGAGAATCCACAGATCACGGAACGGACTGCGAGGAGAGTGTGATGACGGTGCGGAGAAAAGGGTCGTTATGAATGGGCAGGGTCGGAAAATGAAGTCAAAGGGGAGAGACAGGGGCCAGCAACATGAAAGAGAATAATAACAATTATGTGGGATTGCCGAACAACTCACCAGTCGTGGGATGGATCAAGTACAATCAAGAGAAGTTCCATTCTTCCAAACGTTTCATACATTGAACATCTAACAGCTAGCAGTCTTTCCACTAAAAGTACACGGCGAACCCGCACTTGACAACAGCTAAGAACATCAGATTAGCTACACTCACCCAGCACAAAAACACGCATCAATAATCCCATCTTACCGAAGTGCAAGGATAGAACAACGGGTCGGTTCCTGCCTGCGCACAGCAGCCATTCTTGACGGGGCAGTAACGCCAATTCGTGCCGTCTGTGGCACTCTGTAGCTGAGTCTGCTTATCGGCAAAGAAATGTTCGTCGTGGTTGAAGCTGGTCTGTAAATGGATCAGTGACAGCTTCTTCTGAATTGTACTTTCGAGTTAAAGGAAACCCACGTAGGCCAGTGTAACTGGTGTCATTATGGCTGTTGCCAGGAGTAGAAGTGATTGGAACTGCATCTTGTGTGGTTGTTTGCGACAAATGGTTCTGTTTCGAATACGAGTGAATTGGTGACGAGGAAATGAGTCTTGGGAGGCTCTTTTGATAACCTCCTTATTCTTCAGAAAAGACTTGGGGAAATTTCGGAGGCCGGTGTCGAGCGCCGCTAAAGGAATGTGTTCTTCGTACGTTACGTCGGAGTATATGAAATTGAGGTTGTCGGATCATCAAATGACCGCTTCGGGGTAAAGTTTCCAAAGTACTTCGAACCTACGCTATAGCATATCTAGTATGGGGACTCTTCGTAGATCCTCTATACTTTAATTAGTCGCGAAGAGTGAAGTTGTCAACCCTTGTCCTTGCCAGTCCGGTACTTGATGGTTTTGCCCGATGCGATAAGACGCTGTAAGTCATTGCCCCTCGAGTTGTTGGAAAACTGTCTTCGATTGCTTGCCTATCTGACGAGTGAATAGCAACCCCTATATGTATTCCCCAGCTTAGTAACTGGAGGGTCCCCGAAACGAAAATCCTCGCCGGTAAGAGGGAATCAAATTGTTGACCTTTTGACCCTGAACGCCGTCGTACACTTTCGGGACGAGATGTATTCGCCTTTCCAGAAGCAGATCAGGTCTTCTTCGGACTATATAGCCGTCTATAGTATTTCAACAAGGATGTCGCGCAGAAAGGAGGAAAAGGCGCGGAAGAGGCGCAAAGGAGTGACCAACTTCGGGGTCTGTCCAACTACGGGTGAACTACGTGAACGTATGTCAGCTGAATGATGTACCATTACGACAGAACTCGTAGAGGTATGTACTACCACCTCTGTTGTTCTTGATGGTATAGGCAGGTTCTATTTCCACATCATGTAAGACATCATTTACGAGTCACTATCTTGCCATACTCAGAAACTCGCAAAGCAACATCTGCACTAAGACAGCTCATGCATCAAATCAAAAATGAGTCCGCATTCGCGTTGATGTACTCCATCGCAGCCTCGCGATAATTATCCTTGATGACCTCCGGTCCAGACTCAATAAAGTGATACATCTCCTTTTGCTCAGGGGTCCACTCCGGCCACATTGGGAGCTTTCCATTACCATGATTGTTGGGATCCAAAGTGGAAACGAAAGAGATGACGGTATCCATAATGTTCTTTGAATTAGGCACGGGGAGGGTTCCAAAGTCGTAGAAAAAGATGTCGCTTCCGTGGAAGGAACCTAGAATTGGTACGTTGACGACGTTGCCGATAGTGGTACCGCCAAGCTCGAAGAGGCTGTTGTCGGTTAGAGATGTGTATTTCTTCCCGGGTGCGTGTTGTAACAGCTGGCGACGCTGCGATTCGAAACTGTAGTCGCCGGTCAATGAGGCAATACGCTTGTATTGAGGGGTCAATGCATTGAGCAGGCCTGTATTGTAGGGGGATCCAACTGAAGGGTCCTGTGGGTAGAGTTTTGCGAGATCATCCATCTGACTTGTCTTCGCCATTGGCCAGTAGATTGTGTTGAAGTAGTCTTTGAACTCCTCGGTGGTTGTTGTGTTGAGGTGATTGACCTGCGAGAAGAGCGTTCCCTCATCGCGCATATCACCGATCATGATAGGTACATTGGCTACAGCTCCTTGCTCGGTGAGAGTGTGGGGACTAGCCCTTAGGAAATCGCCGTCTGGACGAGGAGCCCAAGGGGATGCCAGGCTGTGATATCCAGCAAAGTACGCTTTTGTGCATTGTCAGCTAGTGAACCATGAGTTGATCGAGAAGCGTTGCGTACGTTCGTTCTGGRCAGAAGAATAGAGGTCCTCGTATGACGCCGATCGTAGACATGAGATCTTGTCTGCTGCATCCGTACATTTTGCAGCGGCGACCCTGTTGTCAGATGTTAGGACATGGCTCAGCTCGGACAAGAATTTGGCTACACTCACATTCGATCGAAGATTGGCTGTTGGCGTGCAGGGCCTTCCACCTTAACGGGACCTCCCGATTGTGCAATTGCGGCTCTGAATAATCCCTGACTGTTGCCGCTGTTTGCAACGAGATGAGCGCTGACGGACCAGGCACCAGCAGATTCTCCCCAGATCGTCACTCTGTCCGGATCTCCTCCAAACTGGAAGCACAAATCAGATGCCCATCAAGCTAAGTAGATAGTGGAAAGACACGAACCTTGGAAATGTTCTTCTTGATCCACCTCATTGCCGTTCTTTGGTCCTTGAGGCCAAGGTTTAAAAGCCCTACCAACAGCAAAAGGTTAGCTATGTCTACGCGCCCCTTTGTGTAACATTCAGAAGGCGGTGCAACGGATTGATGCTCTGGAGGTATATCCAGGCTGCCATCTTTCAATCGCTTACCTGCATCAGCAAACTCTTTGGAGGCAGTGAATCCAAAAGAGTTGAGACGGTAGTTCGAGGAGACGTATATGACTGGTTGGTTGATCGCAACACTCTCTTGGACGATCTTTGCTCCTTGGTACGAAACGCCAGGCAAGGCATTAAGAGGGGACAGGAATGCAGCGTTGGATCCCACCTCGAAAGCACCGCCATGACTAGTCATATCGAGTGAGTGACCATCATTTCGCCGTAGAAAGCAATACTTACATCCAGTGTACGACGGGGAGCTTTTGGCCTTCATAGCCTTTTGGGACTTGAACGTTGATGTTGAGGCAGTCTTCGCTTTCTCCCAGGACTGGCTGGAGAAGCAAAGCCTCTACACTACCAGTGAGACTTCCGAGACCGAGCTTTTCCAGCGATCCATCTGCGAGTAAGGCATTTGCTTCATGCTGAGGGCTGCGAAATGATGACAGAATAGTCAGCTATGAACACATTCTACAACGGCCGAGCAAAGGGCAGCATGGTATGTCGCCTCAGCACATCTCCATACTACCTCGTGAGCCCTCCGCCTATCGAACACTCTTACCAAGCAGGTCCATAGTTGCTTGCGTCTTGGACACCACCGGAAAGTGGCGTCGTTATGAGAGTGGACTATGCGAAGCGAGGAGCATTGGCGAATGGCATTCCTTTCCACAAATAATCAGCGATTTGTCTTGGGTGTATTGGAGCTGATCTTAGTGATCGAAGGGAAGCCCTTACCAAGATAGTTGTGTGTACCAGTGCCGTTGTCATCTTTTCCTTGGAATCTTCCATAACCAAGATCCACAATGGGCGATGCTGGCCCACTGAACAAAGTAGCAGCGCTGATAATACCGCCTGGAAATGCGTTCGCCGCCGTGGCGGTTCTGCAAGCGCAAGCGAGTAGCACAACACTGCTGAGGAATGAGGATGTAGAAGACATGTTGACGAATGAAGGAAGGAGTGATCCGCTCCACTCGAATTGAATGACGGAAACAGGAATCTTGATCGTCTATACATTCCCCGGAAATAATAGACAGCTTGCCCCGCTTCATTTATGAGAGTCAATGTGTATATACGGAGTACTACCCGAGGGTGGGTGGCTTTGAGTTGTCGTAGCGGATGGATCTGCGCTGCCAGAGACAAATAAGAAAGTCGCATTCTCCGGGAATAAGGCTGATTGACAGATTAACGCAACTGCGAAAGCCTACTTAATCCCCCTTCCGGTCGTCCAGGTACCTTGATTGGACCTCAGACGCTGTGGCCACAACATCGGTAGTTGTAGACTCAGAAAAGGCTCCAATGCTCGCATTGCTGCTAACTATTGATCGATTATAATCAAAATGGAGGATTCTCCATTGTATGATATGGCTATAACCCGCGGTTGCTCGAGGTCATTATACAAAATGGAAGCCGCTCTAATAGTCTTCTCTTGCTGGCGCTCTGTCGAAATCCGTGGCGAGATCGACCGCGATGAAAGTAGGTTCAGATGGGAACAATAAGCCATTGCCTACGAGCAGGTCCATTGCACCCCTAAGAGACAGCTCTTGGAAGTGATGCAAGTTGTTCACACATAGAGGGAGACGAAGGGTTGATGCTCTCGTCTCTGGCCTAGTACCCGTTCCCTTTCCCAAGGAATTCGAACGTGTAGATCTCTAGGTTCCGGTAGGTCTGATCGGAARCCTCCTTACAGAGGCGGCAAGATTCAGAAACAGATTGGAAAACGTTTGAGGATGACTTGATGGTATTTGTAACCTCTGCGAAGTTCGCCGGGCTCGAAATGGAGTTGGAGGTTAGTGAGCTTCTGAGATCAGATCTCTGTCAGTCGAGATGGTGCTGGTGATGTTCAGAAGCTCCRACAGCATCATAGGCCTGTTTGTGGGAGATTTAAAAATCTACATAAATGCTCGATTCTGTCTTCAAATTCGACCACGGATGCTTGAGAGCAAGCCCTGCCTTCTTCTCGGACACTCCTGTATTTCTTTCGTGCGTGTGTGTATATCCTACATAGTTAGGGGTACCAACCGCTTGTACATGCCATTGGAGTCCGTATATATTCAACGCTCTGGGAAGTTAACCCTGCCGAATCTCGACCGACATACTTTATAAATACCGAAGTTAACCCTGCCGAATCTCGACGACATTTCCTTCCTACACCCTCCCTCTGGCCTATTGAACCATGTAATCGTTTGATCAGTACTCAGGTGGGTAACCACTGGGGAATCCCAAACGTTGAATGTTTTATTTCTTTTTGCCTTTGTTGGTCGTGGTAAGGAACAAGGAGTGGGCGAAATTTTTGCTGTCTTGGCATCCCAAGCCGCACTAGCGCCTGTCAGCTGCTGATAGATCGATACCTACCATGCGTGTGCTCGCGATACGTTTAGGATGAGGCATTGTGGACAAATCCTCTTCGGCTTTCAGCTTTCAGCTTTCATTTGATGGTCTGGCTTGAYTAGTGTACGATAGCATCTCTTGACAGTAGAGGGATGTCGTTACCAACCTAACCCTACCCGCTCCTTAACGCCGTAGCTAATACCCGTCATCTTCACGATGTCTCGAGCAAGCTCTTCCTAGTCGTTTATCATAGTCTTCACAGTCATCTTGTCTGCTCTGGTGCCGAGGTAGACGTGGGTAGACAGCAGTTGGTGCAGCTGAGATCGTCTAACACTCTGGTCTGCGCGACAGGAATCATAACAAGTTGTCTTGGTGAGCCAAGTATCCAAGTTCGCAGTCAATGGTAGTGAAGGGCGCAAACCACAACACACAACAACAACTAATGAAGTTATGCATCGTGTATTGCTTGGACGAGGGAAATGATTTGCTGTACCTCGCCGAGTGAATAGACAGGACTATAGGCTCTTAATATAGTCTTAGCTGAGAAGGCGATCGATCAACGTAGATACTTAGTAGTAGCGTGAAAATGAGTGAAGAAGATTCGATAGTCTATGTAAAGTTCGAACAGAAGCTGCTTTTATAGGCCCTGTGTCCATGCCAAGCCACTCCGCGGAGGTGTTGAGCGTTCGAGCTATCAGTAGCAAGACTACAACGTCAACACGATCAAGGTGACATTAATCGAAGGCACATATGACTCTCCCCCAGGCGTCCCAGCCTGATAATCATAGCTACCTCCCTCGCGAGCGTGGTCATTGAATGCACTGTGAGGAAGCCCGGCAAGCCTCATTCTCACATTCCTTGAGAGTATCTGAATGGTCAAAGGCAACAATCACAACACGTTCAAGCATTACTGCTACAAAATCTAAAACTCCCTTTCCTTGCAGACCACCCGATTTTCAGCTCCCACAACCATCAAAGATTTACGGGCATCGAAAAAACCGGGCAGACTCTGTACCGCCTGCCTCGAAGTCTCCGTAGTCAGCCAAGCTTCAGCACTTTTCATATCTGTGAACCAATACTGCTCCACACCCCCAAGGGTTTCGAAATCCGCGTCTTTGAACGGCGTTTCGTTGAAAAAGCCGCCAAATTCCTCCAAATCAATGGCTTTGTTAAAACAGTATCTCAACAGCCCAGAGTCGTTTGAGGCTCGCGTAACAATTTCTGCCCTCTCTGCGACATCTGCTGCATTGTATGCACTGATCTCCGCACATTTTGCAAGCAAAAGCACCACAAGAACAGAACCTTTTCCACGCTCCTCCAACTCGATCGGTAGGAGGACGATGTCTACTTCTGGCGTTGCAACTAGTCCCAGAAGCCGTGTGGAGTCGGTGTAGACGTGCTTTCCAGCTTCTGAGGATAGGTATTCCGGCGAGTGTAAGGAGCCCCACAGCGTCCTCACGGACGACCACCCCATAATCGAGACGCAATCCCAGGAGTCATCGGATGATCCAAAGGCCTTGGCGGCTTCGACATTCACACTAGGTATTGCTAGGACTTGGGTGTAGTTCCGCATGGTGGGGACTTGATTCGACATCTCTTGGGTCATGGTGGCGTGTACACCAGTGTATTCGTTGAGAAACTTTTCGTCGGACCAGCCAGGATAACGAGAAGCAACCATGAACATCTTGACGTTATTGATCTTGGAGTATGAGTTGGGTATAGCGGGGATAACCGGAAGAAGAAGATGGCTGTCGTAGTGTCCACCAAAATGTATGAAATGTTTGCCCGCGTTCTTCGTGCGAGAATGGCGCATCAAAGGAAGATGAGGAGGGTATGACCCATAATCGTGTCCAGAAATGTTGATTTGGAGGCGCTCACCAGGACGCAAGCGACAGGAGCTAGGGAGAATTTCAATATCGACTGGCACAATTTCACCCGGTGAGAGTGTTAGGTCGCGTTGGTGGGCCTGGACGGGATAGTAGGGGGTTGAAAGCTTGGTATCCAGCTCACGGCGTGAGACTCTCATGAAGCCGAAGCCTATGGGACCGTCTTGCAGGAAGCTAAACCATGCGAAGCCGACAGATTTCCCGGATGAATCTACTTTTCGAAGGGTAATGAAAAGGTCCATGTCATCTGCATCTTGGGCCTCCACCCAGAGACGAAGTTTGGCGTGACCTGCAAATTCCAATGACGATTGAAAGATTGGCAGATCAAAAACAACTTCTTCAGATCTTGCATCGTAGGATACAGATTGAGCCTTGCCTGGCRGCACAATGCTTAGACCTTGAGAATTCGTGAGGAACAGCTTGGTGTACTCGGTCGTGTCGATTGGAAAGTTGTTGGCGAAGCGCCACTCGCCAACGTAGAATCGCTCTCTCATGGTGTATCGTACTTTGGGCCATAGTTCAACCTCAGTGTCGGTTCTATGCAGGAGGTACTTCTCGAGAAAAGCCTTCTGACGTGCAAGCGATTCTTCGGTGACGGACCACTCCCATCTATGGTAGACTTTAGTGGAAGATACGGGAGTCCAGGCAAGCTCTGAAAATGGACTTACTTCTGACATTGATGTATTTCGAGGTATTTCTCCTCAGACGAGATGGTCTTCCAGCCGTGAAGCGTGCCTCGTGTGTGGAGGCCATGGTCGCCCCAACCAGAAATGACATATGCTGGACATTGGATCCTCTCGAGCGCAGGGATCTTACTCTTCCAATACTCGTCAAAATATGGATGGTCTCTGCCTGTTTGCGTGTCCTCAATCTGATTGCGACCCCAGTTCCAGAACAAAGGGTAACTAAGATGGAGTCAAAGTCAGAGAGGCTAGTGTTCAGCAGCACCATGGAACGGTCAACCTACAACTCCGTAAAGTGTGTTTCGGGTATACCTCCTTGCGAGATCACTTCACGATAGACGTCCGTCATGCCATCGATAGGAATGATCGCCTTAATGGAAAGAGTCAACCGTTGGAGCTTTCGAGACAACATGGAAATGCTTACCTTTAGAGAGGGCGGATTCTCCGCGGCCACCAGCCATTGCACCATTGCATAAGCACTCGCTCCATACATTGCAACATTTCCGTTACTCCAGGCCTGGTTTGCGAGCCACTCAACAATGTCGTAACCTGAGAATCAAATCATTAGCCTTCAGGCGATTTGTCTGGCTTGATCCATGGATCCGGTCTGCATACCATCAAGACCCACGTCCCTAGAGTAGTATCCTTTGTCGCCTTCGGAGTTCTGACAACCTCTCGCATCTACCGTTGCGACCGCAAATCCCTTTTCGCACCACCAACCCGGATCCGCGGCCTCGAAGATGTAGTGTTTGGATATCCTGCTGGGATCCACTCCGCACGTAGGTGGGAACATGCAAATGTCAATGGCGCCGCCATCTTTTCCGTAGACACTGTAGTTAAGTATGACAGGCAATGGGTCGTCTTTACGAGATGCTGGTCGATGAATGTTGGCTCTCAATATTGTGCCGTCTCTAACAGGGACTTCCACATCCAAATCTTGTAAGAGGCCATCTTGCGTGAAAGTCTGACGATTGACGGGACGAACACCGACTGAGGTAGGATCTCTGCCTTTGATGAACGTCAGTACTATAGTCGTGAATATCAATCCAAATGGAGCCGTGCCTGGTAGGAATTTGGCTAGACGCTTGGTCTCAGCAAGCGCATCYCTTGTAAGCTGGACATCAGCCATGATTTTGGATGGAATGGAAGGCTTGAAACTGAACTTGGCAGAGAGTGTGGGAGTCGCTGTAGGCAGTTTCCTTTCGATGCAGCACGCCTATATATCTTCCTCTCTGCATTCATACCAYTAGTATTAAACCCCTCTTCGCAAGACGCAGCCAAGGCTACAAAGTAGCCCATCCCAAACAATCGAGGCACCATTCTTTCTCACAAATTTGATTCGGCATCTGTTGACGGTATATAGCTGATCCTTTTCAAGCTTCTTCGGACGACCAAGTCCCCGCTCCCGAATTTCGAGTCTGAGGGGAGTCTTTATAGAGTTTCCTGATCAGCACAGCAACCGCCAAGACCGATGTAGAATCATCACGGGCTGATCCAACATCCGGATCCGAATCACCATGCTGCATAAACCGAGTTCTTAACCTGCACTTCTAGCTTCGAGTGACGATCAGTCGTTGTCTTGGCCAACGTAACCCCTCCTGCTTCCGCGAGGAGGGAAGTCTACTTGGAGCAAAATTACAAATGCAAAGACCGCGACTCTAGCATTGCATGTAAAGTTGTAACATGGTTTACAAGTGCGTGTAAAAGCTGAAAAAAAAAAGAATTAAATTAAGTAGTGTAGGATATATATTATAATACTAAAAAGCCTCCGTAAGTAGAGAATAGTAAAATTAAATAGCTATAGGCCTCCTATAGTACCTACTACCTTAGCCACCTAAAGTATGTAGGGGTAGTTAAAAGTTACCGAACGGGCTCTTACGGCAGGGAAGGGGAATGTATCTATAGTGCGTCATTTCACGCTGTTCTACCCATCTTATTGCAAATTGCCCTCACATTCGCTCAACCATCGCTTCGCCACCTCCTTTAACCCCTGGCATCTAGCCTGTTTCTCCTCGTACGACTGCGGCAAAAGGGCAATGTACCGCCGCCGCACGATCCAAAATTGCTCCTTTGGTCATGGTCTGATGCGGCGGCCGTCCTCCTTCGGTGTAAGGGTCCTCCTGCACAGCACCTTCAACAGCATGCTCATCAAAGTCGTGGGGAATTCGCTTCTGTAACTCCTGGATCTTCTCGTTTGTCGTTGGACCGGTACCGCCTCTCGACTGCTGCGTGCGGCCGGCTCGAGCACTTTCTGTCCCCTTTTCTGTCCCGCTGCCGTGGCGAATGTTGCTTGGACGTAGATTGACCATGCCCGCGCTCTGGCGTTCGTGGGAACCCTAGCGGCATCACTTCGTAGTCGTCCGACTCGGTGTCGTCRTCGTCTTCGTCGTCTTCGTCGTCTTCGTCGTCTTCGTCGTCGTCGTCTTCTTCGTCGTCATCGTCGTCGTCGTTGTTTACGCTTTCGTAAGCACGTTTACATCCGGCAAGGGCTTTGGCGGAGTCTTGGCCGTCCTGGGACATTTGGACGGCACTGGAGGTTGGCTACCTCAAAACCTCTGCTCCCCGTATACATCAGTACTCTGCCTGTTGCTTGAGACCCGGACATGATCAGTGGACGATGTTTACGTACGGAGACTCCCTCCATCAGCGCATTGCTGTGCGGACTTGGCCGTCTGGATCAGGCGCTCCAGAAGAGCCAGATCTTCGGCTGATATTCCTACGGTCGGGGAGTTTGTACTGCTCGTCATCATTCACTGGCAACTGTCGCGCTTGGTGCAGTCCGGATATGCATGGAGGATTCGGGAAGCGGAGTCAATGCTGGCCGGGACCGTGTGCAGTCGCATCCGGTATGGAGTATTACGTCCACCTATGCTAAGAGATGCGAACTCTCCGGTGTCTTGTGCATAGGGGAAAACTCCGAGATCTMCACACTTGGGAGATCCCCGCGACTCGGAAGACGTGAAACGTGTTGGGGATTGTTGAAAAGCTGTATGAAATCTCTTGCTGAATACATGGATGTCGGAACGGTCATCGATCAACAATATACAAAGATGTGGCGAAGCCCGCTGAGACGGTGGATGAGCGGTGTGGTACACGACAAGCACGTAACGAGGCCCAACACTGGATCAATTCTCAATGGCACACCATCAAATCTGGAAAGCTAGGGCATTAGCTGATACCATACGGGCCGCCGGCTCCTATCGAATCGCCGAGCGGACAGAACTTCTCGATAGAAAGCCCGAGTACACAATTGGAACCGGACCGCTGGCGAATGACGCATTTGAAGAGTTGTACAACCAGATCATGATCCATTATCTGCCCAAGTGGTTTCCCGACATGTTTCGTGTCTCTGGCAAAGTATGCGAGAATCTCGCTACGAAAAAGTCTTACCCCCTCGACTCCAGTACGTTGACTCCAGCGGAAAGGATCCGTTACATTGGTCACAATGTAGAGGAAGACTTCTACATCATGTGTCCAGACGCAGAAGACGGACAAWTTCCGACTCCGTGGCTACCTCGCTTGTTTTCCAGGAGGGTTTCTGAGCCCTGCGGGAGCTGGTGAAAGTGTCCGCGAGATCCACAAGCCCGTCCCCGGTTACGAGGAGAAGCTTGGTCGGAGTAGTGTCGACCGCTACTTCAAGCGAATGGTCATCGGAGAATTCATTGGGCGCATGAATGTACGTCCGATCAAACAACAACAACGAAAACCCACCCCTTGGATCCTTGTGTGTATGCTAACGATCCATAGTGGTCACTCCAACCCGACGGCATCGATCTCTTCCGAATAGATGGGAACAACTTCTACCCCGAACAAGAGGGAACAGATGTCTTCGAAACCAAATACCAGCCCAATTGCGACGAGTACTACTTGCGCGTCGAGCATCAGACTCTTTGCGCCCTGCCCAAAAGTCGTGCCATCATCTTCTGCGTACGCTCATACATGACTTCGCTTCATAATATTCGGAGCGGGGGGGAAGGTCCCAAACTGGCCGATGCGATCGAAAGCATGCAGAAAAGCTCGCAGAGTACAAGATGCGCCAATATTGGGGATCTGCTATATTGCCTTGGCTCCGTTCCTGAAGGGCCGATTGAGCATTGTATTCTCTTTAGCAAATCTGAGATTGGGTTGGTCAGAAATTTTTGTAGCCATAGAGGAGCTCAATCTATGCCAGGTCGATTACAGAGTCGAGATGTTTTTTTGCAACTTCAATCGTTCTCGCACGTAGTGTAATGGAAATGAAAGGTACGTGTTTGACAAAAAGAAGGAGACGACTGATAACATGCTTGCCAAGCTAGCTAGCCACGTGCAGCGTCGAATAGAGCGAGCAGGGGGTGGATGGAGGATGGTGCGTGATTGAGATGAATGAGAACTCGTGAGTGAAGGATTGATGTTGTCACATTATTATGGTCGTGGGGTTGCCAAGGCCTCAAAGTTACCGAACGGGCTCTAATGCTTGCTGTGTTTGTGCTGGCTAGGTTGCGCTAGAGCAGGGCTAACCTAGTTGGGACTTTCGGACCCCCTCTCACTGTTGTTCCCCTAGAATCGCGAGCACTTCCTCTGTTGTTTCCACATCGCAGAATTCGTTCTTCATTGTTGCTAGATGCACGGCGTGCACGGTCTCGGCATCGTAGGACTTGCCCTCAAAGTCCACGTCAAATGTAGCTGTGCCATCGCTAACGAGCGCCATCGCACCACGAGTCTGCTCATCCAGATTGAGGATTCCGTAGCTGTGTTTGACGACATTTAGGTTTGACGCCATGCGCACTGTTGTTGCCACACAGTGCGCTGTCATCAAGCCACACACGACCAATCTTTTGATCCCCTGGGATTTGATGGCTTGCTCCAGGGCTGTCTCGATGAAGGGAGAATTGGTCGTCTTTGGGAACACCTTCTCTGCAAGGAGAGGAGCAGCGTATGGCATGAATTCCGCGCTTTCTTTGGAAGGGTGTAGGGGAGAAGCTTCAAAGGTGGAGTGGTGGCAAACGTGGAAGATGTGTGCTCCAGCGTTGCGGAACGCGCTCAGAAGAGATGCGATATTGGCTTCGAACTGTGGTGTAGACCTCGACGATCCCCAGTGTGTCGGGTGATTAAATCCCTTTTGAATATCAATGAGGAGTAGACCTGTCTCGGCTGGAAGATAGTGGGGCATCATCGTTGCGAAAGAAGTGAGCAGTCTGTTCAATCTAGGTTGAACTGCGAAGAGGTTCCGTTGTTTTGAAGAATGTGTCGGAAATTCAGATGGTACGCAGTGACATATATTGCTAAGGATCAAAGTTTGTCAAGGCTTATTTACAGTATGAATGGAGAGTTGACAGGGCGTAGACCCGGTGGTATGATGACCAAGCTGCCTATAGATAGCACTAGTCGCATAGTATACCATGGATTCCGTTAATCCCGTTAATTCCGTTGAACGAGAGGGTAATGACTTTGCATAGGATGTCCCGGACTAACCGGAAAGTTGACCAGGGAGTGAGGTGGTGGGATCACTCGTGTTACCACATTAGCAAGCAGCTAGGGATCTATGCAAGAGGTGTATTTCCATCAATTCTGAGTTGAGAAGTGTTCATCAGGCTGTTATAGAAGGCATTATAGTTGAGAGCACCGACGATTAGCATTCGGAAAACCAAAATGACTGAAATGCCGCGAGGACTTCTGGGCCAAATATCTTGAGGGTATCGATGCGGTGGAATTCCCAGCTGCACCGTCCAACCTTACGCCCCGCAGGAAGCTGACCTCTGCAACTGTCCATATATCGGATCCAACAGGAACATACTGGAGTCTGGCCCGGCCATCCTAGTGGCGTCTTGGGCGCTTGTGCTCTGTCAAAAGTCGGATGTCAGCGATGTTCTATTCGGTCGCGCCGAAACACAAGAGAATGTTGTACCGCAGCGAATTCGAGTCTGCGTATCCGCTACTGTTGAAGCATACCTCCGCCTTGTGGAAGAGCAGATATGCGTCACCGAATAATTGACACCGCCATCCATGGATATCATCGAAAGGCTGAGTTCTGGGGCGAGTCAAGTCTTCAAGGCAATCCAGAACGTTCTGGTTGTTAACGACTAGACAATCAATGGAGCCGCAGCGAATCCAGAAAGTCTCGTGAGTGCCACCGGACCTCTTGCCACCGGACCTCTCGCCACCTACCCATTGCTGCTACTTTGCAACTTTGACAATACCAATTGCTCTTCATCGTTGACCGCCGTCTTGGATGATAGGATTCTTGCGCCAACACAAGCGGATCTATCATAGCCCATGTCCAACATGTCTGGCATCTTGCTTCGTCCTCATCCACTATACGTACGAGTCGAAGGGTATAAACAACTTTAAAGCTAAATAATAGTTAGCTATTCTTATTAACGATTTAGAAGAATACTTATTTCTTCTTATAAATACTCCGAGGAGATTGAGCTTGAAGACTAGGTACAGATCTAGTCGGCTGGTTCGTAATGCGATTCAGGGGCGCTAGCGAATTCGCATTGGTTATGGTTCGTTGTAAATGTCTACATATAGAGACGTGTATTGTCAGCACAGCCGTGATCCCACGGAGCACCAAGACAGCGTTTCGATACATCGGCGTGGAATACTCCGCTTGAAGCCTGCAGCTTAGCAAGCAAGATATTCGGCCGGTTCAGTAGAGGGGATCGTGCATCTCATTCCACTCCAATGCGTGAAGAGGGCTGGACGGTACGCTGACCCTGGCAGAGGTGAATCAGAGCGTCGGGTTCTGAGCAGGTATTGTTCGCATCTTCAAACGAGAGATACACAAACGGCTGCGACAACCGCTACCAGCCATGCAACAACACGGTTTCTCTCAGCAATGCTCTCAAAGTTCAACTGATCCGGCATCTCTCCTCCATCTGCCGCAAAAGTCCGCATACAAGCAAATTGAACATCCGGACTCTGATCACCGTCATACAACACCGTTATCACAGGCGTGATACCCGATCGAGCAGCACCCACCCGAGGTAGCTGATCGTCACTCTCATCTCCAGGCTTCAGAAGCTCTTCATCACCTGCGTAAAGAAGTTGAGTCATCTCAGTGACTTTGTAGAGACTCCGCTGCTCCGGAACGACTGGCTGACATCCTTCCTCCTGCAATTGAGTAGCCTCAGAAGCTGCCCCGGGTCCAAAAATTGTACCTCCGGTGATATTGGTGAAGCCGGCCAGCCACGAGCCGCAGAACATGAGCTCCTGACGAATCTGTGCGGAGACAAATTGTGTCAGAGCTTCGCATCGATCGCTTTGTGTGGTATCATTTCCGAGGAACTCAAAGTCTTGAATCATATCCGCTAGATTTCTGCGACAGAAATCCGGAATGATGTTTCCGCACTCTGTTGTGTTCGAAGTGCTGCCGTCATCCGGGAAAGTGGAGCCTTGGTATTGCGCCATGAGCGCGCATCCTGTGGGCTGATCCTGATTATCGAGGGTTTGTGGAATGCCTGCGTACACTGGATCCGGCGATTAAATGTTAGCTGAGTTCGTACGGAGCACTGGGATGCAACAGAAGGCTAGCATGACAGGGTATTCGACCTCTCGCGCTTCATCCACCATCACCTCTTCTTCCATTCGCAAAACTTACGGATTTGTGTCGAAAATTGGTAACCCCGTGAACCAGCAATCACGCCGCCAGAATCACCATCATCTACCAAAGTCAAGGAGAGACTTGTATTTGCCGTACTGATGACCTCGCCAGCGATGCCAACCCCAGTCGCACGAATTCCGCCAGCTTGGCAGACCCCATTGCTGTTGTCGATGCAAGAAAGGGCATTGCAGGATTGTATCTCCACGCTAGGATTGTCGTCATCTCTGTTATTGCCTTGAGCGCCAGCGACCGAGAAAGCGACACACAGAGGCAGAGTTYGTAACTTCATGACGTCGAGACTGGTCCTTCGTGCAGATATGCAAGTAAAACGTAGAGTGTTGAGGACTAGAAGGGGCCTGCAAGAATGTTCGACTATTTTGCCAACAGCGGCTTCTTATGAGGCGGCCATCCTTCCTTCGTCCTTTTCWTGGATTGTGTCATGTTTCGCTATGTTCCTGTTCGGCGCGGCGGCACGCTGCCCCACAATGCCCAGGCAGAGAATCGGGGCGGAATATGTGGGGAATCGGGCGCAACTCCCTATCATATGCCCTGCCAAGCGCCGCGTCGGACTTGTCCGGGGGTGGTGGGGCGGTGGATATCTTGTGGAGCACTTTGATCAGACATCAGCATTGACAACACCGGGCGATATTGACCTTGTCTGCCATTTCAAGTGCGCTTACTCATTGTCAGTGTCGTGGAGGCAATGGTCACGTCCGGCCGGAACGAACAAGGAGATTCAAATCTTATCCCACCGCCATGCTCTATCGCTATCTCGAATTGTTACATCGGGCTTGAGTTCTATGATGTAGAACCACTTGGCCTACTCAATGCTTGGCATTTGCACAACGTCATCAGCTGTGCCTCAACAGGAAGGCCTTTCGTCCAATAGGGAACCTTGCATTCCGGGGAATAATATGTTGCTGCAGCCCTGGGACTAAGGGTTTCAGCTAATCAAGGCGTGCACTAGTGGAGCAACAACAATGGGGAAGCGGATGTACCGGAGCCCTATTCAATGTATGCTCTTCCGAGTCTTGCTCCGCTTCCACTCAAAGAACACTTCAGCCATGAAGTCTATTTCTTCTCCTCTGTAGATCCAAGCTTCAAGACTCATCTTTGCTCCCTTCGATGCAGCGTTGCGATTTTCCGATAATTGCCAACGCTACGGCACGAAAGGTGGACTTGGCGGAGGCATTGCCCATTGGAAGCTTCCCAAGACGGCTGTCAGGCAATCCGCCACCTTGGCGAAAGTTATGTGGTCCCCCGATCCGTTACGGCATGCATCCTCTTTGATCCTTCAGCAATAGATTCCGATGTGTTGGATAATTCACGATGGTTCGGAGAATCCTAGAGTATGTAGGGGTCAAGTTGAGGAGTGGCTCAGCCATCGGTAGGACGTGGGAACTCGGGAGACCACGCGAGACAGGGAATTGCATTATCGAACGGTGCCGCATCTATCCTACCGAGTTGTAGAGCTGAAGATGAGGCTCCATCCAGGTGTTGGAAACGATCGCTAGAACCTAGCCCGCTCTCAGAATAGCGTGGCTTAGGGCAGCCTCGCAGGACGTGCGAACTCAGGGCACCACGCGAGACAGGGAAATCCATCATCGAACTGTGCCGCATCGATCCTAACGAGTTGCAGAGCTGAAGACGAGGCCCCGTCAGGTATCGAGAACGATGTGGCACCGAGCCCGCTCTTAGAATAGCGTGGCTTAGGGCAGCCTCGCAGGACTTGGGAATCCAGGAGACCACGCGAGACAGGGAGTTGTAGAGCTGAAGATGAGGCCCCATCAGGTGTAATCGTGAACACCGAACCCACTCTCAGGATAGCGTGGCTTAGGGCAGTCTCGTAGGATGTTGAATCGGGCGATGAAGGTTGTGAAGGATCTTGACTCCAGATACAAAACAGCGAGCCTTCTTCGGAAACGCAGGCTGTATTCTTGCAATCTCATCCCTCGTGATCTTTTCTGCACTTCTCGCCATCCTCATCACTTACGATACCAAGCCCAAATGGCTTCTGCTATAGGAGTCATCTCCGGGCTCATCACCATCTTCCTGTTTGCTCGCGACGAACTTGGTCAGGATGATCCACCCAATGCTGTTCTGAACTTCAAGGTTGGATTAGACGGCACCAACCCGCCCGCTGGTATCGATGGAGGCCCGCTTACCGATGCGGGTGGTAACATCCCAGATGTTCGTCTTTGGAATGAAAATGGCGGATTCATTGGTATCACCACCAATGATAACAACAACTGCGGTTCAGGCGCCGATGTCTGCGAAACCAAAGTCAGCGATGTAGAGCAGCAGCCTACGTATACCCTACTCACGGGGAACAACGACGCCATCTGTCTCTCCTGGGCCGCGATTACATTCCCAGGAGGCCAGCAGTACGGCTGTCCGCTCGGGAACTGGGCACAAGAGTGCGCAAATAATCACGGTGGTGAAGCGACTTGGTAAGTTCGAAACGCCCTATCGATCCACTCTGTGGAAACCATCAGACTCCTTTCACTGACAATCAACTCACAGGTACTGGAGCAACATCTTTCTTGAGCTCGAAGAAGGTGGCGAGGCACCTGTCCCATGTGCTTGGGTCGATGCCGACGGCGATATGCCAACGACGGGAATCCAGATCCACTGGCCAGACTTCTCTCCAGGAACTGCAGGAGATGTGGGAACATCATTCTACTGCGCCAACAACTTCGCCCTGAGATTCAGATTTGATGAGGACCCTAGCACAGTCATCCGCCCAGCTCGCCGGAGCCTGGAACCCTATGAAAATAAGCAATATACCCGACTCAGGAAACGCTTCGAGAAGGATTCCCGCCTCGTCAAAAGTAGTGTTGCACAACACTCGGCTTCGGAATTGTGTAATGCTCCGACGTCTGTGGGTCCGAGTTTTGTCTCGTACGCCGAGAGAGCTTTCTGCTATATGCCAACCAAGACGGTCTACCCATTCTGCGAGGAAGACAGTGCCGGTGCGTGCTGGTCCGACGACGATGATCTTGTGGTGGTGAAAGGTGATGCTCGCATTGAGAATGTTCCGGCTATGACATTCAACCAGACGCTGAGTTGGTGAGGCGGGTAGTCTTGTGTTACAGCTGGAGGACGCCAGAAGATATGCTTAGCTTTTCGTCTCATCGTTTCGCGGATGGCCGCGAGAGAAGCCATCGCTCAACCGGTGTAGATAGCAATAATTAGATTCGGTAAAACAGGATGTGTAAGCTTCCAAGTGTATAGAGCCAATTGGCTTGTTGCGTATTATACGTTCTGTATATCCCAGAGCCGTCGTGTTGAGGAAAATGTTGCAACGACAGTTTGGGCTTTCACGTGGCACTTTTTGTATCGGTGGCAAAAGTGACTCCGAGTGCTCGTCCCGGTAGCAATCCAGTCCTCAGTCCATCTGGGATGATACGTAGGTAGTTGGCGATAGTGGTGCGGTGGTAAAGACTTAGGAGGAAGGTAATACCGGCGGCACTACCCCAACCTCAACCCTAACCCTGTTCCGACTATGCTCTAGACTAGAGTAGCCTACTAATCCAAATGCCTCTGAGAAGCCTATAACAGTGCCTATAGAAGTCAATAATTACATCTTATATCTTACTAATATACAGCGAATGAGAAACGACCGCTATCACATTACCTAAGCTGTGTGTGCGCAAACGACCCAGAGTGGTATAGTGGAGCTTGGCAGTCTGTGCACCGGAGACGACTATACTCCGTAATCGTACTGACTTCTTCGCTTTCATCCCGAGAAGATACTCCACCGCATCATCAAACATGGCATCAGCGGCTGMTGCAAAACTCTCGAAATTTGGTGTCCGCCATGTCGCCAAGGGAATTGGAAGGCTTTCAACTGAAGTCATCGAATCGGGCTCGGGTTCTCATGTCACCATGATGGGCGGCAAACGATACCTCGACTTCACCGTCGGCATTGGCGTTGCAAACCTGGGCCATTGCCACCCGGCTGTGACAAAAGCCATTCAAGCTCAAGTCGGCACCCTCGTCCATGGACAGGTGAACATTGCTTTCCAAAAGCCATATCTGGAGCTCATCGAGCATTTACTGCCCAGTATGCCTCATCCGAGTCTTGACACCTTCTTCTTCTGGAACTCTGGCAGCGAAGCTGTCGAGGCCGCTGTGAAGCTCGCGCGCCACGCCACCAAGAAGCAGAACATCATCGTCATGCAGGGCTCATACCACGGAAGGACCTTTGGGACCATGTCAATGACACGTTCCAAGACAGTCTACAGTCAAGGTTTCAATCCCCTCCTCCCAGGAATTTTCTCCGTGCCATTCCCATACTGCGCTCAGTGCTCAATCGCACAGCATAGCAGCCAAGACTACAGTCCTTCGAAGTGCTGTATGGATCCTATCACACAGCTCGAGCTCCTCCTCAAGCGAGAATCGGCTCCTTCGGATACTGCGGCAATCTTCATCGAGCCAGTGCTGGGAGAAGGTGGGTATGTACCGGCCGCTGATGGCTACCTTCAACGCGTCCGTGAGATCTGTGACAAGCACAACATTCTGTTGGTCGCAGATGAGGTCCAATCCGGTTTTGGTAGAACCGGCAAGATGTTCGCCATGGAACACTGGAATGTCCGTCCCGACATTCTTATCATGGCCAAGGGTATCGCAAATGGGATGCCGCTTTCTGGCATCGTCTCCCGGAAAGAACTCATGGACAGTCAACCGGTGGGTACTATGGGTGGTACCTATGCTGGAAACGCCGTGTCATGTGCAGCTGGTGTCGCTGTTGCAAAGGCCTTCAAGGAGGAGAAGATCCTCGAGAATGTGGCCATCAGAAGTAAGCAGCTGCGCGGTATGCTTGACAAGTTGTGGGCGGACCCAGATGTTGGAAGCCACATACATGACGTTCGTGGACTGGGCCTGATGCTGGCTGTCGAGTTCAAGCCCGGATCTCAMGGAAGCATTGGAAGTAAAGTACAAGCGAGATGTAAGGAAAAGGGCATGTTGATCCTCACGACTTCGATTTWCGACACGCTGCGCTTCATCCCCGCTCTCAACATTACTGAGACGGACATGAGCGAGGGATGTCGTATACTTGAGGAGTCTATCCGAGAGGTGATTGCGAAAGGGCAAACGCCCGAGGAGACGGCCACCAAAGGCCAAGCTTTGGTGTAGTCGCTGAGGGTCATTCTCCATGAACCTTCGCCTATTGTATTGATGATTTGATTGTGGTGGATGAGTGTAAAKAAGAACTTTCTGCAAAGAGATATGGACTGAGGAACACATGACTGCTAATGGCTGCCTGCAGTTTGCAATGTTCCGAGACAACGAGGATTATACTGTTTCACGATTGCTGAAGTTCTCACATGGCCAGCAAACCCCTCACTTCGTTGGGATCCACACCTGTCAGTGACTTTGTACCTAGCCTCGTTAGATCGCCTAGTGGCAGCCAGTAGGATGACAGGCTGCCGATGGAGCATGTAGAAAGATGGGCCAAATGCCAATCTGTACAGTATGGACTATAAATGCACAACGTACGGCGACGCTTTTGAGGTGGCCCGTTAGGTATTCATTGGGTGCCTGTATATCGATTCTCTCTGCATTATACAAGTACCGGATGAATCGGATGAAACCATCCTAGACTGGCATCGCGAAGTCCCGTTGATGAACAAGATCTATGGTGATTCTCACTGCAACATCGCCGCTTCTAGGAGCGGAGCGGAACGCTCATTAAAGGCCTTTTCGGGAACTCACTCCCAGAATGCCCACCTATTGAATCTATGACTTGTAAGTAGGATCTCAGACCGAAAAAGTATCAAATTATACAAGGAATCATTCATCAAGCCAATTTAAGCTTTCCGAGACCCACGGTTCGGTAGATAAGACTAGGTTTCACCGGGAGAGGTACTACTAGTACTTGTAATATGATCGATCCTTCTTCCGTGCAGTACCCGCCCCTCCTCCAAACTCTCCGGATACCGTTCTTCAAGGGTCAATAAAGGTTCTGGACCTTTACGCTGTGTTTCCGCAAAAGAGGGGAAGTGAATGATCTGCACATCTGGCGCAATATGTTTGGAATCGTATAATCAGACGATGTAGACTAAGATAGGGTTGTCAAAGATCTCGATCTCGGGAGTTGGAAATTTTTATGGAGCGCTTGATGTGAGTGCAGCTCCCGTTTTCTTCTCAAGGTTGCACTCAGATCGAACGGACTGAGGACAGCGCAAGATAACGTAGCCATATGGCTGGAATTTTGAGTCCGATGAATCCGGTGGATCTGATTGCTGCTTGGGCTTGGAATTTTTAATGAGATTTTCGTATTATGTGGCACTCAACGCGGGTGAGGCGAACGTTCTATGTGGTTGGTGAAATATTTTCCATTATCGACCGTCGTTCGTACTCTTGAACAACCTGGCTCTGTTGAGGATTCCAGTAGTTGCCTCATTCTTCGAGCCCTGCAGACAAAGTAAGAAGCGTGTGTTACTCAACTCTGTACCGGCCTCAATATGAAAACGGCCGTTGTCTATAGCATTGCGTTTCCTCAGGAAACGGCTTGGCCGGAATGTCAATAATACCTGGTTGCAGGAAATGGCTCAACTCGCCCTCGTCGGGATCGACCTGGATGATGGACCAACCATTCCCAAGCCATCCTAACCTATTACACTCTCCTCCATCATCCTCCTCTCCATGATACACATAACTGAAGTCTTCCCACCGCGGCGATCGAAGGCACTCCATAGCGTGTAGAGCACTTCCAGGCCAGAGACCAGATATGCGATCGCCTTTGCCTCCATTACTTTTATACCAGCTACTGCAATTGTCAAGGTATACAGTATTCTTGAAGTAATGGTCGATGATCTTTGAAAAGTCCTTTACTCTTCGCTCTTGCACTTCCATTTGCGCAATGTTTTCTTTTTGTAGCTTGCGAATGCATTTGATGATGTAGTCGCCAGTCATTTCCATCATGGTTGTCAAGGTACCGGTCCCGATTGCGGCATTTGGGCCCAGCATCATAAAGTAGTTAGGAAAACCGTCCGTGGCCAACGACATGTAAGTCTCGGCATATGGTTCGAATTTGCGTTTCATTGTGAGGCCGTCTTTTCCGGTCACTGGGAACGGCGGGGGAGCTGAAGCCTGGAAGCCAGTCGCACAGACGAGCACATCCAGATTTTTGACGTCGCCGTTCTCAAGCACAAGACCGGTTTCGGTTGCTTTTGAGATGGGTGTATTGATGAAATCTACGTTGTCTTCCACGAGTGCTTCAAGATATCCAGGTCCTGGAGTGAGCCTTCGGCAGCCCACACTAAAAGATGGCAGAATTGCTTCGAGGATATGAGGTTTCTTAGAAAGCCTTTCTTGCATCAAAGACGTAAAGTGCTGTCGTGCACCGCGCTGGGTTGGCGAATCTTTGAGAGTTAGGTCGTGTACAGAGTTGGCGTCCCTCTCAATGATGGTTCGAAACTTCAGATAGTAGTCTGGGTCGTTTGCGAAACGTGCCTTTTGCTCAGGGGTGACTAAACCATTAGTCGTGGTGTTGGCCACAAAGTGATTAGGCGTGGCTTACACTTGCTGTCTTTCATTCCAAGATTCTGCATGGACACATCCCCAAACTGGGGYGAAATCCAAGTTTTGCTTCTAACGAAGCAACTTAGATGTGTCCCAGGTAGCTTTTGCAACTGAGGAATGATTTGAATTGCGCTACTGCCACCGCCAATCACGCCGATACGCTTGTTCCGGAAGTCGTAGCTGGGCTTGTGTTAGATGAATCGGCTTGGATTACTTGCGACTCTGCAACGCTTACCCCTTGTCCCAAGCAGCGGAGTGCATCACAGGAATCTTCAAATCCGAAAAGCCTTGCACTTTTGGCCAGGAAATATCATTCAGAGTTCCTCGGGCACTGATTACAACGTCGGCCTCATCCACAAACGTTTCACCCGTCTCGACCTTTTCGATTGTGACTTGCCTGACAAAGCTGGTCAGTTAATGAACAGCCGTGGTCGCTTCTCAGTTCTTTACCATTTGGACTWGCTGTCATCCCACCGGGCGTCCACCACTTTGTGCAAGCATTTGATGAACCGGTCTACAGAGTACTCTCTGACCACACTCTCAAGGTATTCTCGAATCTCTTGCGCCGGGGCATAGAAGGAGCTCCAATTTGGGTTTGGTGAAAAGGTATATTGATATGAGTGCGCTTGGTCTTCCATCAGCCTCATGGCGATCGAATCCGTACGACAGATTCCGCTTACCTGGGATATCGCAAGCACAACCTGGGTATTCATTTTCGTACCACGTTCCGCCGACCCCGGCGTTCTTCTCATATATGGTTAATTTGACATTGCGTAATCGCTCCGGGATCCTGACGCCGCAGTAGATTCCAGAGAAACCAGCTCCAATGGCGATGACACTCATGGGCCGAAGATTCTCAGCGGGTGAGTCGTGAATGCTACCCGCGCTTTCATCATTGCTGTGAACCAAGTTGTTGGTGTCCATGTCCGCGGATACCAGTTTGATAAAGTCAACCAGAAGTGAGACCGGAGAACAAGCAAGTCGTTTTGGTCTTCAAGTATTAGATTCTTCAATGTCTAAATACCTGCCATCCGTTCCATGGATACGCCAGGCGATCTTTCGCCTCATTTTGCGGATAGTGCACCTACGGTACGGCTTGTGGACGCGATGTCCTTCAGTGTGAAGGCTTCACCTGAACGACATGGTTCCGGAGGTCCAATTGAGCTGTATGATGCTACTTTCCGGTTGTTGTGGGGTGGTGTGGGGTCGGGTGCGGTACCCGGTGTCCGGTGTCCGGGAGAAAGACCAGAAGGTTGGAGACGGAAGCTGGTGTGCGTCTATAATGGTAGTAGTAATGTCTCACGAATTATCCATCGAAACAAACCGTAATCTCCGTATCCGTTACGGGTTTTACTCCATGACCCTGGATCAGCATTGCCGTCCCGTCTCCATCCATGGATCTCCACGAGTTCTCCACTCGTCCTCGGTTCACACGGTTCACAACGTTGGACCTCCTCATGTATTCAACATCAAGTCTTGGAAGTGATGGCACGTAGAAAAGTCGATCCATCAAATCGTCGACGAGTCTTACAAGCTTGTGACAGCTGCAAGCGACGCAAAGAAAGATGCAATGGTTCCACACCCTGCGATCCGTGCAGGGTTCGTAATCGCCAGGACGGCTGCCGGTATTCCAAGACTCAGAGCCACAGCCTTGCAAGATCCCTGCTACGCGAGCGAGCCCCTGACGGACAATCTAGTAGTAGCACTCACACACACAACGTTCCCAGCCGTTCCCAAGACGATATACCCAGCGATGAAGCTCCGACGCAGGCGGATGATGATTTTGTGGCTTCGGCTCCGGTATCAGAGATCTCTAGCATGCTTCTGGACAGTAAAGGCAAATCTTGTAAGCTGCCAAAAGGGGTTTCCTGTGAGCTCGACTGACTGTATTTCAATTCAGCTTATATCGGCGAGTCCGCGTCCTTGTCATTTCTTCAGACCGTGAGGAAAGCCATGTCAGCGGCCGTTGGTCCGTGTGAGTTTAGCAAAGACACCCATAGTCAGCAAATGATCGAGACAACTCCGGCCATGGGCTTCGAGACTGTCCAAAAACCGTTGCTAGATCTCGACTCCGCTCTTCCACTAGCGAATCAATACACTCTCGTCGCCAGCGGTATCCTAGACCTCTTTGACGAGTCGTGGCWAGTTCAAGAGCTTTCGTCAATCGTACGAGGTCACTCAACAAGGGATTCAGCCACGCAAACCCTCGTATATCTGGCCTTGGCGATTGGAGCACAGGGACGAGCTCGAGGTCAGGACGACGAAGTCTTTGCAGAACAGTCCTTTGCTTATGGTCGCCATCTTGCAACTACTACTTTGATGGACAGCCCAAGCCTATTGACGGTACAAGCTTTCACCATGATCACTTACTACATGCTGGCCGCATGCCGACGTAATGGAGCCTTCACCAACTTAGGGGTAGCYGCTCGAGCTGCTTACGCTCTTGGCATTCATCGCCACGAAACAAATGTTGCCTTCATCCCTGAAGATGGACTGGCTCGAGCGCGAGCCTGGAAAACGCTGCGTGTATGTGATCTCTTCCTGAGCGCATCGATGGGAAGGCCGCCTGCCACCTCTGACGCTGAATGCAATATCGTATGGGACTCAGTCGACCAAGCCACTCACCGCGAAGGATCCAACGTATCAGCGCAAGCCTATTCGGCGATTTTCCGAATCTGCCATGTATTCGAAAGAGTCTTGGTCGAGGTCTACTCGAAACGTTCCGTCTCATTTGAGGTGGCCACAAGTATTTCGCGCGAGCATCGTAGATGGACRGAGGAGCTACCTCGAATGCTCAAGATCGATGGATTACAAGACGTGGAGACAGGGCAGCCCTCTCGACTCTCTCATCGTCTCGGCGTCGCAATCGTCACCATGGCCTATTACTACTCTATCATTCTCCTGGCGCGGCCATTCCTGACCTTCAAAGTCTGCCATTATCCAAAAATACCATCACATGGACAGCACATCTCCCCCTCAATGACAAGTCTCTTTACATATGCAGATGCATGTGTTGATGCGGCAATCAAGGGAATCAACGTGGCCTACGAGATCGTCTTAGAGGATGGAATGCCCCAACGCCAACCCTTGGTAATCAACAGTGTTTTCATCTCCATTCTTTGCCTTGGTCTCGCCAGTCTGGATAATTCTGATCGTCGAGGCTGGCCTTTAGATCAATCTATGAAGCGTGGAATCGCCATTCTGGTACATTTCGCAGACCTAAACCCCCAGTCTGCTCGATATGCCAAAATATGCCAGCTTCTCCGAGCTGCTGCGTTGAAGCATGCGGAACAGAGAGATTGTGCAATGATGCACACTAGCAGCCAGCGGTTTTGTGCCATTTTTGGCGATGTTCAAGGCTCGACGGATCCGCAGGTGCGATTTGCGGACGTGAATCAGAATACGCGCGTGATGCAACGCCAGCAGCCTCCAGGTGCATCAAATCGTACTCCAGCGGCACMCATTTCTCCCCTCTCCTTGGACGGCTGCTTTATCCAGCACGACTCGATGATCTCTACAAGCGGTCTTCTGGACGGACAGTCGCCCAACAGCCGTGCACCTCATCTCGACGACACAAACTCCTATGCTTCGCAGTACGACTTTTCCGCACAGGATCTTGATTCTTCACCTTCTTCTGGATGGGGAAGTTTAGAGACGCCCCTGTTTTCACTCATTAATGACTTTACGCCGACATAGTAGGATTAGTGTGAGACGTGACGGATCGATGTAGAAGGTCCTCCTCGCATAGTTTGTTACTTCGGGACCATACAGATGTCAGATGAGCATGTGACTTCGTAGGTAGAGCTTAATTGCCAAGAGTTATCGAAAGCATTATTCCACTTAAACGGAATCAGAGGGCCGTGGGATTGAAGGTTACCGCACTAATTGCTGTAAACAAAGACATTGTTCTTCCTACTAAAAATAAAAGTTGAGCAGAGGGAATCAATTGAAAGAAAGAATTGGCTCTTCGCAACTCTGCTTGTCTTTGTGCTTATATTCACCTGTTCACGAGCGTGTAATAGCTTCACACATGTACTAACGAGAGATCCAAGGGCTGAGTGTATTAATATGTGGTTTCTGACTGCGATGTCTGTTTGTCCAAACGGAAAGCCAAAACCAACCCGCAAATTTCCATTCACCGACCTCCTTTTCGATTACCACAGTTCAACAAAACGGGAAAGAAAAAAGGTACAGTCAGCGTTTGAGCAATCTCTAGCGCTTGCCCACCTAAGTGCTGATTTAAAGATCACATAGTTCAATGGGCTAGAGCGGGCAGGATGATTTACGTTTACAGATCTATATAGCCGAGTATAAAGGCAATTTGCTTGCTAACGTGCAACTTGCGTAGGCGTCTAGACGCTGTGTCAATCGCACATACAGATGGCGATATAAGCGACGAACTTGGGCGGCATTAATTGTGATCATACCGATCTACCTATGCGGCATGTATGCCTTGGTTTCTCTTTCCTCAAACTTGGACATTTGCCAATAGCTCCCCAACTTTATCATCTCTCGGAATCATGTTGATCTTAAAGGGTACGGGCGAACGACCAGACATACCGTCATACTCTTTAAGATCAATAGGTTGATCCAGGGCCTCGATCATATCGAAAGCCCAGATCAAACGAGAAACAGCAAGCCAGATCTCGCGTTCTGTAACAAGCATACCCGGACGGATTCTGCGACTGATTTCGAATGTCAGCATTCGTTGCAAATAGAGTTTGCAAGAAACGAGTATTACCCTGCTCCGAACATCCAATGGTCGCGCTCGTAGGGATCAGCTGCATGAGATTATGGAGATGGAGATGAGGCTCGGATGAGGGATTGCTCTATGGCGTTCAGACGAGGTATCAGGCATTCAGGGGAAAAATTTGACCTGAGTATGCTTTCTGCTATGCGTATACCGTGCATGGAAGTTCACAGACATTCAAGCAATTCACACTCCGTTTTTCAACAGGGAGCAATCCACTTCTCGTACTGATCCTCTTCTCTGATATTGACCTTATGTAGGTACAATCATTGAATGGAAAGCTAAGCTCTGAGCCAAATCCTTCCTTTTCGTTTACTTTTCTTCGTTTTTTTCCGAATATGTCGCAGCCCTGATCAAAGAGGCACTACATGGCCTGCCGGCTATTCCTATGGGGTCTATCGCATTAGAGGCAGTCCACGAGGAGTGGGTCACCTAAGGTCGGGAAATTTCCACAAGGACTTTTAGAAAGCTGAATTAGGAACACATTCTAATTTAAATACTAGTATAGAGTATTTAGATCTAGATAGTATATAGGATATTCTCGCCACCAAGGAGGGATGTGCAAGACCGATTTGGCAAAGGGACACGTGTAGGGACTTCAAGGTTCCAGATCTAGATAATGTGGGATATTCGAAATCGCTACTAGGAAGGATTTAGGAATCCCAGTTAGGAAGAGATCACGTGTGAAATCGTTGCGATTCAGATCTAGCCGATGTGAGATATTCTCGTCGCCAAGGAAGAATTTGGAAAGCTGATCTGAGAAGAGGTCACGTGCGAGATTGCCGAAATTCGAGTGAATGGGTTGCTTAGTGGTTCCCGCTACCCGCCCGAAGCTTGATTACTCCAACACTCGACTTTGGAATTTTGGATCTACTACCACCTTTACTTCGACTCCACTACACACTCCTCGCTACCTTTCACATCCATTACTCTCTCTCTCTCACACACACACACACACACCCAAATTTTGGCACTGCAATGGCTGATCAACCGCCTCATGAATTGACCTCGAAGGCATGCATTTCTCAACCACCGACTCTGGAAATCTCAACTACACCAGCACCCAACCCTCCATCATGCAGCCGCCTCGAGCGACTTCCACCAGAACTTCTGCTGCTTACGGGAAAGTTCATCACCCGGCCGTCAGACCGCCTCGCGCTCTGCCTAACGAGCAAAGCTGTTCGCGCRTGGGCCATCACCCGACTCTACCACACTTTGTCCTTCAACAGCGACTTGCAACCCTGGCTTCCCCACGCCCAGAAGAGCCTACTCAAAATCGACAATCCCGGTCTGGTCCATGTCCGCCGGCTCGAAATTACCAGCACAAAGGGCGTGACGGATTGCGATGATGAGGCTCGGTTTCTGAGACTTTTTCTTGGAATTCTTCCCCGCAATTGCCTGAGGCATATGTAAGTCTTTCCCGCGCACAAAACGTCCAAAACTAGCTACCGACTGCTGACGATCAATCTTTTCGCAGTGAATGCTCTACCCTAATACTCGAAGAGAAATGCCTTCATCTCCTCCTTGTGCAACAACGCAAACTCGAGTCCATCGCCCTCGGACCATCCATGAGCAATTTCATCGAGCAACTCCACACTACAACGATGCCATGGATCGGCTTGACTAGCCTCCACATACCACAAGTCATCGGCAAGACCGACCTAAGTGCATATCAAGAAATCATCCAACAGGCACCCCATCTATCCGAGCTGAGCATCGGCTGCGCATCCTCCATCTCCATTTCCCACGCAGAGTCTGCACTCCGTCCTCCAACGACCGTCCTCTCTCCCATCGAAACCGGAACCGGCCTGTTCCGTAACAAAGACGGCACCTCCAAGTCCGACAAACCGATACGGTTGAACCTCACCAAACTCTCTTTTATGCACACGTGCGTGAATGTCTACCTTACCCGGCCGGATATATCCCGCCTCACCTCCCTTCGTCTATGGAAATGTCGAGGTTCGAGAGGCGCCCTTCGCGCCCTGATTAAAGCTGCCAAATACGGTAATTGCGCTTTGAAAGAATTCACCTACACGAACGGGGAGGATCGAGAATTCGAACGCCATTATGTGGAGAAATTCCTCAAATCATTCGACGGATTAAAAAAGCTACACCTAAGCCGCGATGCACTCGAGGAGGAGGAGGAAACGCCTTTGAATCTCAACTGTCTAAAATCCCACAGCTACACGCTCGAATCCCTCTTTCTCGAATGTAACCACGTTACCGTTACCGAAATGGGAATCAAAAGGGATTTCTCCCCTGAATTCTTGACTTTCTTGACCCCTAATTTACGGCATCTCGCCATTTCTATGCCTGATATTCTGATTGGACCCTACCGAGCCGAAAACTCATACCTCCATATCTTCAAATCTCTTATAGAAGACCTCCCTGACCTGAAAGTCCTTCGGATTCTGAATTTTCCTCGCTACAATGCAGTTCTTGTGCAAAACGATGACGATGACGAGGATATCAATACTGTGAATGTGAAGATTTTCAAAGAGGATCTCGATGAATTCGTGCAGGAGATTCTGGCTCCGCATCTTCGAGGGGGGATGGTGTTGTGTTTTGGTGGAGGGGATGAATTGGAGATTTCGGATGATGGGGAAGTGGAAGTTGCGCTTGAACCTGCGTATTATGTGGCGGAGGAGCGGGTGGATGGGTTTGGGAATTTGCGTGTTTTGGCTGGGAAGGTTTTGTTGAGGGAGGCGGTGTTTGTTGAGCCGGAAGTTGAGGTTGGGGATTTGGGGAGTTTGAGGTCGATGCTATGAGGGGGTGGAGATGGATGGGGTGGGGTGGAATGGTGGGATGAGAGTGGGGGAGTGATGGGTTGGTTGTAGATTTGCGCGGCTGAAACTCTAGGTGGGAAGGGCGAGATTGGGCAAGTGGCAGACTGGTATACGATGCGATCTCTGCGTTGTTGGGACTGATGCAGAGAGCGATAGGCGGCACGATTTCACGGACAGTAATGATAACGAGGAGTTTTTGATTCACAGGAAACCAAGGCATTTGATAATTGCAAAGGCTTTGTTAGAACAGAAGAGCAATCTCGTCTGTTTGTTCGAGATCATCTCGGACTAGCAGCATAGATGGGACAAAGTCTCAAGAAATGGTTTAATAACCAGGAATCAATGACCATGGTATCTATGCTGTTACAAGATTCTAGAGCAGTTGACATAAAAAGTCATCGCCATTCCGCAAAACCTCAGCCTGAATCCATCTCAAGTCAATGTTCCAGAATCTTCAACACTTGTCGTAGATAACGAGAGAGTTGTAGACAAATCTGATCAGAGGCGCTCCCACTAGTAATAGAACTGATTGAGACCAAAACTAAGACCATAGATAGCAGCTCAGAACCCAAACCTATTGCATTATCCTCATTAGGATCCCTAAAACCTACCTTAATCATATCTTTCCGGTTACTTCGATATAAAACTAGCGAATCACGATCGCGGATGCCTTATAGGAACATTAGGCACATGCTACAGACAGTTCCCGGCCCTAATTCGTAATCCGTGGATATGGGTATTCCGGACCGGTTTCCACCGTTGCTAGAAGAGGGAATTTATTGGTTCATCACCTCCCAATACCATGGATCGTACTCTCTCACGCTTTAACGGATTTTGCCTAATCTCGACGTTGCAAAATTTCCCCAAGGGTAAGATGATGATACCAGTAGCAGCTATTGAAAGTGAAATCACGACAACAAATCTAGAGATGGGCGTGTTGAGTGTATATATATAATCGACGCTGTCCTCTTCGATTTTGCGGTTCTCTATATCCTTTCTATAGACCAACAAGAACATCTACAGTCACTTCGAGGATCGAAAATCGAAAATCGAAAATATTCCTCACTTTCGTAAGTCAAAGCTGATATTCACAAATCAAACTGCATACTGACTCTCCACTTCAGATCACAATGCAAAATCCTCTACCTCATCGCCGCAATTTCCAACCTGCGCCTTCGCAGCCAAGTACGCCCCAGGACAAGCCTGCTACTCAAGCAAACAATGCAACGCCAACTGCCTTGATTCCGACTTCGTCGTCACCCACGAAGACGGCGACTCCTTCCTCGCCTGCAACGCAAAAGCCGCAAATCCCAAACAATTCTACCATGCCACGTGCCTAAAGTACGATCCTCAAGCAGTAGGAGCCAGTCCCATCGTCTTCAACAAAGCGGGCACAGCTGCAGCCTGTGGCAAAATTGCAGGAGGGGTGATGAGCTGTAAAGCGGGATGTCTCCTATCCGGCACGAGATCCACCGAGCAAGACCTACGGAGAAAGTGGCAGTTGACTTGCACGGGCGTGGAAAATGAGGTGTTTGGTGGGAAATTCGTGGCGTTCTCGGATGAGGCTGAGGCTAGGTATGAGGCGTATTGTGCCTAGATGATCTTTGACGGTGTGAATTACCACTTGGAGGAGGGGCGAAGTTGATTCAAGGTTGTTGTAGAACGCGGAATAAAGATCTGAAACTCGTATGGAAGAAGCCGTATCCAAGTACCTACCTAGGTAGTGCTTAATGTCTTGTCGTGTCGCATCGTGTTATGTTATCCCTCAACTCAACCCAATAAACGAAAGACAATATTTCCCCATTGTTGATCATTACTTTGAAATGAACCCCCGACGGAGTAATTTGCCCTCAGAGGAGCGAAGTTACGGTTATTGTAGAGCACAGAATGAAATCTGAAATTCGTATAGAAGAAGCCGTTGTCCGTCAAATTACATCAAGCGAAAGATGATACCTTACCTAGTTCCTTATTAAGGAAGAATCATTGCTTTTTCGAAAGGAATCCCCCGAGTCAAAGACCCGAATAGAAACCATCAAATCTACCTTACCTATTACGCCACCCGACTGATATGCCACCCGACTGATATGCAATACCATGCCATGCCATACCATGCCATAAAATCAAACAATTGAAAGAACGACACGATTAAGAATGAAGTCTTGAAATTTTCACATTCATTCCCTAGATTAGGTCAGGTTACATACATACCTCAACCCATCCCCCTACCCTGCTGCCTCCCAACAACATCCCCCAACGACCACGTAGCCTCAGCTTTAGTCCCCGGCGGCAAACTAATCGTCACATTCCCCCCATCCAACAATGGTGGTCTCCCCGGTCCACTCCCCATAGGATCCCCCAGGGCATACCCACTCCTTCCCATGAACCCTCCCTCACCAGATGATGATGATGATGATGGTGTAGATTGCGGGCCGTCACTCTTCTTATTCGTACCATCCGTAGAACTCATCGGCAACAACGGCCGGGCGCTCTCCCCTGTCCCCTGTTCCCGCGCCCGCTTATCCGCCTTCGCGGAATCACTGGTGCGGTCGTAGAGATATAATCCCGCAAACGTCAACAGGAAGCCCAAACCTTGAATGCGCGTCATGCTGGCTCCCCACCAGATTATGGCAAACATGATGACGACGACTCGTTTGATGAGACTCGCTACGGAGTAGGTGACGGGGGAGACCATTCCGAGGAGGACAAAGGCGACGAGGGATTGGGCGAAGTGAAAGGTGCCGTTGAAGATGAATTCGGCTGCCAAGCGACCATGATCGAAGGAGCCGGGTTTCTCTCGCAGGTCAATGGAGCCGTCGTGGAAGAAGTCGGCGAGGAGGGGAAAGCCTTCGGACCAGAGCCAGACGGGGCAGGTTAGAAGGAAGGCCATGATGGAGGAGTAGCAGAGGAGATTGAGTTTGTCGGGTTTCCTCCTGCCCATGGGGACGCCGTCGGCTTCGGCTTGGGAGGATTCGTTGAAGATGGTTTTGGAGACGATGTTTTGGGTGACGAACAAGATGGCGCTCCCCAAGGCGTAGATGAGACCGATGAAGTTGCCACGGAAGGATGTGGAGCAGGCCATGATGACTCCTAATGTTAGAGGAACGAGGGAGAGGTAGGTTGGGGTGGAGTATTTGATGTTGTAGAAGAGGCGATATGCCACGACGGTCATGAGTGGGGAGAGGCCTTTGATGGTGTGGACGAGGGAGACGGGGATGCGGGACATGGCATCGGAATTGAGGATATGTCCACCGATTTGGAAGGCGGTGAGGGGGAGGGTGGCCAGGATGATGTCTTTGCTGGGCCGTCGAATGCCATTCTTCAACACGGGCAGAGCATCCCGCACGCCCGCATGTCGCTTCGCCAGGTAGGAGAGGAAGACGCACCAAAAGGAGACGAGGAGGAATTGAATGACGGTCAGGGTGACGGGTTTGGGGAGGGCGGTCAATATAGCCTTGGAGGATGTGTTGGTCAGGATGGATGTCCCATACCAGAAGGCACACAGCAGCACCAATCGCATGGACACGGGAGCCTTTAAAGCTTGGGCGATTTCCTGCGCATTCTCCGACATGCTCGCCTTTCGTCTCCGCACCGTGCGAATGGCCTCGGACAGGCTCTTTTGTCTGCCGGGCCGAGTATCTCGCAATCGGCCATTGGAAGCCCAAGAAGCCCAACTTTTGGCGGTGGAATCCCTCCGCGTCGGCCAACGTTCACTCGAGTGCAGTCCAGGCGGGAGGCCATTGGGGAGGGGACGGGGACTCGGGCCGCGCGAAATATCCTCTCCTCCCGATTCGAATACATCCTCGCCGCCTTGTCCATGTCGTTGCTCTTGCTCACCATCGAAGGAGGAGGGAAAGGGATCGGTGAAGTCGGGGAATTTGGACGGTGGTTGTTGGGATGAGGAGCGCCGGCGCTCGACGTCGGAAGTGGCATGCGGTAGCATTGTCGGCATCAATTGGCCATATTGGTGGGTTGTTGTAAGTGTGTCCTGCACGACAATTCTCAATCAGATTCTGGTGGGGAGATGGTATCTATTCCATGAATTCCCGTAGTTACTGGACTTGGGGATAACTTAAAGTTAGGTGGACTTTCGTGGATGCGGCAGGCGACGTGAACGTGAACGTGAACGTGACGACGAGTCTCATACATAAAAGTCGTGGGACTGCTCATGCCACCGCAGCCTATATATACGTGACGTCGATCCTCGTCACAGAATCTCACGGGACGGAAGATGGAGAAGACAATCCGTCTAGTCGATAGATAAGTTGACGACATTTCCCGCCCTTCTACATATGTAGACTGCTTTGTTAATCAAGATACAAACCCATGTCATTTAACGCCGATGTGGATAGCATGATTGAGTAATTCTTCGGCGCTATTCCCGGGAGAGCTGGAATAAAAATAAATATATATATAAAAAAGAATGCTCTGGTCTTCTATCTAGAAGCATAGAGTTTGACTTTTAACTTCAAATCAGTTAAAATCAGTTAATTATTAACTGATTTGACTTAAATTAATAATGTTTAAATAGCCGGTAGTTAGTTAAATTAAGGTAGCTCTTCGGTACGTAGATAAGGCGTAGTTAAGCCGGATTCGGACTATATAGTTGTTCGGTGTTCGTTTGGTTTAGTATAAGAAGCATTAATAACTATAGTAACTACTCGTAAGGTTAGTAAAGCGTTAGTTATGTATAGCATTAAACTAAGGAGTAATTAGATAAAAGAAGAGCCCTTGCTAATACTACTACTATCCTCTTAGGCTCTAATATCCTTACCTCCGGAATAGCGTATAAAGAAAGAGGATATTTAGAAAGAGCGTATTACAAAAGAGCGTGTTACGCATACTATTAACTTAGGCTATATCGCTAACCTCCTCTTACCCTTTACTAGTATAGTAATTATAGAGGATCCTATAAAAGCTTATATTACTAACCTACTCTTACGTAACATTATCGATAATGCTATAGTGTCCGGAGAGGAGTAGATTATAATGTAAGGTAACTAATTAATATTAAAGAGCGAGAAGGAGTTTATTAAGCGATTCGATAACGACGTACTAGATGCTCGGATTACGAATATAGAGGCAAAAGCTAGTTAAATCCACCCTAAATATTCGAAGGATATGCGCGATAGAGTAGCTCTAGAGGTGTAGTATACGGAGGATACGGAAGGGCGTATATAGCTATTATAAGTAACTTAGTCGTAGGACGACGATTTACGGATGATTTTCGAGCGGTAGAGGGAGGTCTATATAGAAAGGTAGTTAGCGTATAGATAAGAAGGTAGTAGTTATTATAGATAAGAAGGTAGTAG